AGCGCACTGACAGCCGGATTCCCAACCCACCCCGCATGGCGGGCGACGAGGACTGGGCCCCGGGCCTGGTGCCGTGGGGCATGGAGCAGCCCTCCCCGGGCCCCTCCCCCTCACCACGCACGTCTTGCACTTCTTCTCACCCATCCGCCTAAGGTCACCAAGTACTACAAGGATTGCACACCGAGCAGTGAACTGGTCGAGAGTATCAACGCTACGATGCCGGATCAAATTAAGAGGTCAGATGTGGACTTGGATCGACTTGCTTCGGGTCTTGCTTCGGAGCTGGATAAAGAGTTCGAGAATGACGATGATGGCATGGATGGGATGAATGCTCTTATGGATGATTCGCAAGCCCCGGCACCTGCTACACGAACTTCTCCGACTCCTGCTGTGACTTCTGACTCGCCTGTGCCTCCTTCGTATATGCCTCCGTACGCTAATCCGAGCATCATCTCAAATTCCAATCAATTCTTCAGTGGAGCTCCAATGCATGCCCATCAAGCCATGCCTTTGACTCCACTGCCCATGTACCATCATCCCATGCATTCCATGCCCCATCAATCCATGCCTCAGATGCACCATGCACCTCCTGCGACTCCGAGGGGCAATACTGGGAACTTGATCGCAAAGATTTCGGAACTGAATGATCTCCTGACGGCCCGGGCTATTACCCAGAGCGAATTCGATACTCTCAAACGAAATTTGCTGTCGTCTCCGCGATGATGGCGCATCTGGGACGTGCTCCGATTCTGCGATCCTGTTCTGCCAGGATCTGCCCCGACGCCTCCCTACTTCTTAACTATCTTATCGTACTCTTCGTTCTGTACTCCCTACTCCTCTGTACTCCTAAAAGTATAGTCCGGATTTCTATGGGGCATACTGTACTCCGGGTTACTCCACATCGGCCGGCCTGCTACCACAAGAGCACGGGTCCGCGCTCGACGACACACAAGGCGATGTCGTCGCAAGTGAGTGCGCATGTTTTCGATGCGGTACTCCGTGGCGACGTCGAGACCCTGCGCGAGTGGCTCACGTCGGGCACTCGTGATTTGAACGAGTGGTTTTGGTACAGTCTCGATAAAGCCTTCGGGGACGACGTGGATCCTGAGGACATTTGCGCCTGCCGTGGTGCTCTTCTACATTGCGCGTGCGACCAAGGAGGGATGGGATGTTTAATTGCCGCCGAGCAGGATCAGCGCGCCGTCGTGAGCGCGCTGCTGGTACACGGTGCTGACGCGAACGCGGTCGATGGCGATGGGCTTACTCCTTTGCACCACTCGTCGAATCTTGACTTGTCCGCGATGCTGCTCGACGCGGGCGCTGATATTGACGCGCGAGCCGATGTGAGAAACAACTGTGAAACGCCGTTGATGTCCAGCGTGCACAACCCGGACCTCGTACGCCTCTTGGTCAGGCGCGGCGCGGACTTTTCTTTGATGGACGATGATGGCCTCGATGCGGAAGCGTATGCGCGCAACCCACACCTTCTAGGGCCTCCGACCCAGATCACGGACTTCCGCGTCGCGGACTTCCTCGCGGGAGTCAAGGCCGCGGGTTCGGATCGAAAATACCTGAACGAACCGCGAGTCCAGCTTTTGATGCTCCGCGCGCTCTGCGCTCGCGGCCGGGCGACGGCGCCGACCGTCATCTTCGAGCGCCTCTTCGGCGCGCCGGCCTCTCACGGACCGCGACGCCTAGGCGGGCCCTCCCCCTCCGCGCCCGTAGAGACATGCGACCTGGGGAGCCCGGTAGCTTGGTGGACCCGGCGCGCGACGCTCAGCCGTCGACGACGTCGTCGGTCTTCTCTGGAAAGTACTTCTGAACTCCGGCCCGGATGATGTTCTGGTGTATACTATACTATGGATTCAAGTTAGACATCTAACCGCCTCTTCGGCGCGAGCGCGGAAGACCCGCGCGCGCTTCCGCTGGAGGTCTTCTGGCTCGTGCTCGCCTTTCTGGCGCGCGGACCGCGACGTCTAGAGCCCCGCTGTAATTCGTGGACACCACTGGCCATTAGAGGATTGGTTACGCGGACTGCGAGAGACGCTCTTACTGCGGCCGGGGGACTACTCCCCGGAGTCAAGGCAGCGGGGTCGTGGCGACAATACGTCCGAGCGCCACGCGTGGAGCTCTTGCTCCTGCGCGCGCTCTGCGCTCGCGGCCGGGCGACGGCGCCGACCGTCATCTTCGAGCGCCTCTTCGGCGCGCCGGCCTCTCCCGCCCGCCCGCCCGCGCTTCCGCGGGAGGTCTTCTGGTTCGTGCTCTCCTTCTGGCGCACGGACCGCGACGCCTAGGCGGGCCCTCCCCCTCCGCGCCCGTAGAGACATGCGACCTGGGGAGCCCGGTAGCTTGGTGGACTCGGCGCGCGACGCTCAACCGTCGACGACGTCGTCGGTTTTTTCCGGAAAGTACTTCTAAACTCCGGCCCGGATGATGTTCTGGTCGCACCAGGGCCGCGAGGGCGAAGGCGGGGGACGAGCCCTCGTCCACGGGTCATCGACTCGGCCACCGTCGCGGTCGCGACGCCGGAGGTCGCCGTCGTCGTCCCCGCGAGAATCGTCCTGGCGTCCGCCGAGTGGGACCAGGCGGCCCGCGGCCCCAAGCTCATGAGCTACGCGGGCACTGCTCCCATAACGCTGCACGTTGCAAGACAAAGTGACCCGCAGAACTAATTACCGCGCGTACGAAAGGGCAAGCTCGAGTATCCGCCGCGACTTTTCGGGTCCGTGCGTTTCTAGTACACGGAAGGTGTTCTTGGAAAGCTCGTGGCCCTTGGTGGCCGCGCGCGCGAAGCAGCGTTTGGCTTCATCAAAGTCGGCCTCAACGCCCTCTCCTTTGAAGTAACAGCAACCGAGCTCGTGCTCCGCGTGCGTGTAGGTCTGCTCCGCGGCGAGCTTGTAGCACCTGAAAGCTTCCACGAAATTCCGGTCTTCGCGTAGCATCGTCCCGAGCCCGCACTGGGCCGCCGCGTTGCCTCGGTCGCTAGCAATCCGATAGAGCTTCATCGCCTTCTTCCGGTCCATCTGAACGCCGTCTCCAGTGGCGCGCAAGACCCCAAGATTGACCATTGCATCCACGTTCCCGAGCTGAACGGCTCTTTTGTAAATCTTCGCGGCCTTCTTCCCAGATTTCACGATGTCGAACTTACCACCAAAGTGATAGGCAGCTCCCAAGCAGCAAATGGCCTCAGGCACGTCGTTTTCCACGTGGCGCCGAAGTTGAGCCAGCTGCGCCGCGCCGTCAAGCAGCGGCGCCCGGCAGAGAGCACACGGCCCGTCGCCGATCCTCTCCTCGCACGACGCGCAGACCTTCCGGCAGCAACAAACTCGGAATTTCGGCTCGACGTTCACGTCCCACTCCTCGTAGCAGACCGGGCACCGCGGCCCGTCGCGGGCCACCGGCTCCGGCTCCGGCTCCGCCTCCCGGCGCGCGCGCGCTGCCTCGAATTCCGCCGCGATGCGCGCGCGCGCCGCGTCCGCGTCCGACCGCGGCGCGGGGCCGTAGAACACTTCTGGCGGCGGCGACGGCGGCGGCGTCGGCGACTCGGCCCGCGCCGCGTCCGCGGCCCGCTCGTCCCGGATCTTCTCACACGCCTTCCGGTGGCCCCGGTCGCGCCAATCGATGATCAAGCAGTCCTTCGAGCAGTACGCGGCGGCCTCGTGCGGCAGGGCCCACAAATGAGTTTGGCCTTGTCTCCGCATATAGAGCATGCTTTGAGCAACGTATACACCTTCAACCGCGCCTTCAGGTCCTCGAGCTCGCGGAGTTTTTGGGCGGAGTAGAGCATGGCAAACTCTCGCTGAAAACGATTCGGTGCTCTTGTGGCAGACGTGCGCCTGGGCCTGCGACCACAAAAGCGACGGGTCCGCGCGCGACGACACACAAGGCGATGTCGTCGCAAGTGAGTGCGCATGTTTTCGATGCGGTACTCCGTGGCGACGTCGAGACCCTGCGCGAGTGGCTCACGTCGGGAGATCGAGATTTGAACGAGCAGTTTTCGTACAGTGTCCGTCTGGAACGAGACGCACTCGCCGAAGATGTAAACGTCGCCCAGCTCGACGATGACCGTGAGCATCTTGATGGCCGTGTCCCGGTGCGGCGGCAGGTACCCGGGCTTCAGGCTCGCCGCGAAGTCGCGCGTGCCGTCCTGCGTCGACCGGTAGATGCGCTGCCACTCGCGCAGGTGCTTCGCGAGGGCGCCCGTGCCCGTGCCCCACTGGGTGTACGTGCCGCGGTTGCACGGCCGGTCGCCCGGGAAGGCGTCCTTGCAGCGGAAGTGGAAGACCTTGACCTGCACGACCTTGACCATGCCCGCGGCGTTCCGCACGTCCGAGCGCCGCGAGTCGAGCTCTTGCTGCTGCGCGAGCTCTGCTCGCGTGGCCGAGCGACGCCGCCGGCTGTCACGCTGCGGACGCTCTCCCGGGAGACCGTGATCTTCGAGCGCCTCTTCGGCGCGAGCGCGGAAGACCCGCGCGCGCTTCCGCTGGAGGTCTTCCGGCTCGTGCTCGCCTTCTGGCGCCCGGACCGCGACGTCTAGAGCCCCGCCCTCGCGCATGATCCCTCTCGCCGATCCCGCGACCCCGCTGCACAAACTAAAGAGAGCCCGGCAGCTTAGCGGACCCCGCGGCGCGGCGCTCACTCCTCGATGACGCACTCGTCGTCGGTCTTCTCCGGGAAGTACTTCTGGATGATGTTCCGGTCGCACCAGGGCGCGAGGGCGAGGGCGAGGGGCGATGCGCGCGGGCACGATGACGCGCGCGAAGTTGATGAAGACCTGCGGCGGGGGCGCGGCCGTCGCGCGGCGCCGCGGCGGCGACGGTCCGACGCGCGAGCTCGAAACGCGCGCGACGTCGCCTTCGGCCGTCCGCGAGCGATGCGCGCGCGCCTCGCACGCCCGCGCGCACAGCCCTCGTTGCATCGCAAAAAAACAAAAGAAGAAGTCCCGCGCGGGCCCGAGCGAAGACGTAGCCGGCGACGGCCTCCTTGCCTTCCACGGAGGACACGTCCGGCAGGGAGCCCGTCGTGTAGGCGACGGCGGCGATGGCCAGCGGCACGCTGCCGAGCCAGAAGGCGAACTCCGTGATCGTGTAGGCCGCGATGCCCGCCTTGCCCGACTGCTTGACGCGAGTCATCGGATCGACGCGGCACTCCTCGGGCACGCGCGGGTCCTCCTTGAGGCCCCACTGGATGAGGAACTCGTCGACGTCGCTCACCTCGACGTCGAGGAGCTGGACCTCCGTCGCTTTCTCCTCGGTCTTCGCCTCGCGCAGCGGCGCGGGCGCGCGGCGGCCGGCGCGGGACACCGGCGCGACGAGCGCGTGCGCGGCCGTCGCGGCGAGGAGCGCGGCGAGGGCGGCCTTCATGGCTGGCATGGTCGGTGGACTCGGAGGCGTGACCCGCGCGCGACGGCGCGGCTTGGGCTTGCGATCTATCGGTGCGTCCCCGCCGCCGGAGAGCTCATGAGCTCAACCGAGCGCTTGCCGTCGAAGTTGCCGTCGCTCGACGCCTCGCGCGCCGCTTCTTACTACTCCTAGACGCGGCGCGCGTCGTCGCGGATCGGGTTCGGGGACGCGGCGTCGTCGAGGGGCGACTGGAGGGACCGGCGCTCGGGCGTGTAGCCCGGCGACGTCGCGGGCCCCGGCGACTCCTGGGAGACGAGCTCGACGTCGCGGCTAGACGGCGTGGTCGGCGTCTGCGCCTACCGGGGACAGTTCGACGGCGTGCTGCGGCGGGGCGCGCCCCTCGCGCGCGCGCGGCGGCCGGCGGACGCGGGGCGCAGGCACCGTCCGCGGCGACGAGAAGAGCGCCGTCGGGCTCTGCAGCGACCGCCGGCCCTCCTCCTCGTCCCTGGCCCAGCGCTCGTGCCACGCGGGCCCCAGGGAGCTGCGGCGCTTCGTGCGCTCCGACACCGTGTGGTCCATGCGCAGGTCCACGTGGTGCGCGTGGTGCACCTGCGGGGGCGCGCCGTCGCGCGGTCCGAGGCGCGGGGGGGCGCGGCGGAGACGCGCCCCGCCCTCCGTGTGGTAGAGGTCCATCTCGTGGGGGTCCGGCTCGCGCTCCTCGACCCAGACGCTGCCCCGCTTCGCGGCGCGGCCGACGTCGTGCGCGTGCTTGGACCGCGCGTCGTCGGCCGCGGCCGGCGACGGCAGCAGGTCCGCCTGTGTGCAAATCAACCAGTGAGCTGGGACGTCGGGGCCAAACTTCAGAATTCTCTAGCTCGGTCAAATCGAAGTCGATTCGGCTGATTTTTGGACGAATCGATTGCTCTCAGCGAGTTCTCGAAGCACGGCGGAAGTGATCGTGTCAAAACATTCGAATACGCGCACATTGAAGTCGGGTTGAAGATTTGATTTGCACACAGAGATCCGCGTGCGTCGTCGCGAAGCCGAAGTCGCCGTCGTCCGGCGGCGGCGGCGCCTCGCCGTCGTCCGGCGGCGCCCAGTCCTCCGCGGAGTGGACGGAGAGCGACCGGAGGCTCTTGGACGTGCTGTCCGACGCCTCCGCGAGCTGGATCGTCTTGCTGTCGAGCGCGAACTTGGCGACGTAGGTCGGGTTCAGCTTGAAGTTGTAGCTCTCGAGGCCCTGGATGCGCACGTGGGACCGGACGCCGTCGTCGGGCTCGACGGCGCGCCGCTGGAGCTCCTCGCGGTAGCGCCGGAGCACGCCGCGCTTCAGCAGCTTCTGCGCGAGGTTCCGCTCGAGGCACGCGGTGCTCAGGGCCTGGAAGTAGTCCGGGAAGTTGTAGCCCTGCTGCTCGATGAGGTCCCGGAAAAAAGCCGCCGCGTCGCAGCAGCCGCACCGCGCGAGGACGCCCGCGACGGCGTCGCGCGCGAAGCCGACGTCGTTGAGCGCGACGCGGAGCACCTTCCGCGCGACCATGCAGAGGAGCACGGCGAGCACGACGACGTGGGGCGCCGCGTTGCGGTGGCCCAGGCGCTCGAGGGCGAGCGGGCCGCCGCCGCGGTCGTCGTCGAAGAACGCGTAGCCGGCGGCGGCCGTCGCGTTCGCGCCCGGCGCCGTCGTCGCCATGGCGCCGACGCCGGCGACGTCGTTGGCGACGATGTCCGGGTTCGTCCACATCCAGACGGCGACGCAGGTCCGCAGGAACACCGCCGTCGGGACGAAGGACGAGAAGAGGAGCGCGAGCTGGTTCGTGAGCGTCTGGGGTATCGCGTAGAACTTGGAGAAGAGGAACTTGTCGATGGCGTACTGGCACGCGAAGACGGCGAGGCAGAGCACGTTCAGCAGGGGCACGCCCGCGGAGAAGAGCGTGCACAGCACGAGGAACTTGATCTGCACCGCGTAGCGGACCTCGAACTTCATCGCGCGGCCGGTGTAGACCTGGGCAGCAAAAGGGTGATTCAACGTCGCTTCAACGTGAGTGTTCCGCGCGCGCGCGTTCCGGAAACATCACCCATGCTTCGAGAGCGCTCCGAGAGATGATCGCTCGTCCAAGAATCAGCCGAAACGAGTGGAAAACGGCCGAGAGAGGAGCCTTTGAAGTTGGGAATTTCGCTCTCTTTTGCTGCCCTGGTGTAGACCTGGTTCAGGCCCGCCTGCGTCATCTGGCGCGTGCGCGACACGTCGTTGGAGAAGCCCCGGTCGTAGAAGCGGGCGAAGCGGCCCGCGGCGTAGGCCGCGGCGTAGCACGCGACGTCGCTGAGGAACGACAGCGCGAGCGACAGGAAGATGGCCTTGGCGACGGCGTCGTACCAGTCCGCGGAGAAGTCGTCGTAGCCGCCGCGCATGACGCCGAACTCGCGGACCCGGGACGTCGCCCGGGGCTTGAAGGCGTCGAACTTGTTGAGGTTGCCGTTGATGAGCACGGCGAGCAGGCCCGTGTTGATGATCGACGCGACCGCGAGCTTCGTCGTCAGCGACCGCATCTGCTTCGTGCGCGACGCGTGGCGCTCCGCCTCGGTCAAAAAGTCGGCGATGTACTCCATGAGCATCTCGACGCCGACGACGAAGACGACGGCGGCCGACTGGTACGAGTAGAGCGTCGCCTTGCGCCTCGCCCACGTCTCGCACCACGTGCCGCCCCAGCGGTCGTAGGCGACGCGCGGCGTCGCCGACGCGTCCGGGTGGCGGAACTCGTAGTCGAGCATGGCGCCGAGGCCCTCGTCCTCGAGGACGCGGTTGCAGAAGCACTCCAGCAGCCCCGTTTCGCCCGTCTCCATGCCGAAGTCCTCGGGCAGCTCGTCCTTGGCGACGTCGGCCATGGACAGCCTCGCGACGCTCGATGTGAAGGCGTAGGTCGCGTCGAGCTCCGGGTCGTGGAGCACGGCGCCGTCGCCGCGGTACGCGTAGCAGTCCGCGGCGGGGAACTTCGCCTCGAAGCGCGCGGACGCCGTCTCGGCCCAGTAGACGACGCCCGACGACGCGAGGAGCAACGCGACGAAGACGAGGACCACGGCCAGCCGGCGCACCGCCTGGCCGCCGCGCCGCAGGCCCAGGTTCTCCCAGTAGAGGTCCCGGGGCTCCGCGGCGCGATCGAGGACGACGGTCCGCGTCTCCTTGAGCCGGAGCTCCGCGGGCTGGATGAGCCAGGCGATGCTGTTGAGCATGGGCGGGTACATCTGCAGGCAGCGGAGGCAGCCCTCCTCGCTCGCGAAGGTCACGTAGGCCGTCACCGCGCGCACGGACTTGGTCGCGTGGTCGTCCGCGAGCTCCTCGAGGTCTTTCTGGACGCCGTCGAACTTGGACCGGAGGAGCGCGTGTTTCAGGTCCTCGCGGCGCGCCGCGTTGCCGCAGCACCCGGCGTGGCCGTCGCGGCCCCGGAGGCGCCGCCGCGCGTCGAGCGTGTCGAGCTGGCGCGCGATGGCCCCGCGCCGCTTCATGAGGCGGATCACGCGCCGGTTGTTGATGCCAAAGTTCACGTCCGCGACGGCGACGTCGCCGTCGCGGTACACGGGCGGCGCGCGGCTCAGGACGTGCTCGAAGTGGCTCCGGAGCAGCTGCGCGAGCTCGTCCAGCGTCTCGTAGGTCCCCGGCAGCGACGACCGCCGGAGCGCGACCGTGTAGTCCGACGGCGTGCAGACGTACTTCTTGTAGAGCTTGCCCGCGGTCCGCTCCTTGCCGTGGAGCCAGAGGCCGACGGCGAGCAGGAAGAGCGCGCCGACGGCGTCGAGGCAGCCTGTGTGGAAATCAACCAGTGAGCTGGGACGTCGGGGCCATACTTCAGAGATCTCTAGCTCGGTCAAATCGAAGTCGATTCGGCTGATTTTGGACGAATCGATTGCTCTCGTCGAGTTCTCGAAGCACAGCCGAAAAGTCTGGTCCAAACCGTTCGATTACGCTCACATTGAAGTCGGGTTGAAGGTTTGGTTTCCACACAGGAGGCAGCTCAGCGCGAAGGACGCGCCGCGCCGCGTCGGCCGGAAGACGCCGCCGAGCACGCTCAGCTTCGACCGCGCGCAGAACGCGACGGCGACGAGGCGCCGCTCGGGGCACCGGTCGAAGGTGCCGTGGTCGCCGAAGGACGCCGCGCAGCCGCCGCCGCGCTCGAAGGCCGACCCGCCGCAGGACGTGTGCTCGCCGCGCGGCGTCCAGCGGAACCGCGCGTCGACGTCGACGGGTAAGGTGCAGTTCTCCGCGCCGAGGCAGAGGCCCTGGACGATGAAGGGCGCCGTGTGCGAGTCGCAGGTCGCGTTGGGCCGCGGGTTCACGTCGGCGTCGAGGTCCGGCGCGTCGCCTTTGACGCCGCGCGCGCAGCACGTGTCGCCGAGGTCCGTCGCGCCCGCGAAGCAGGGCCTGGGCAGGAAAAGAGTGCGAAATTCCCAACTTCCAAGGCTCCTATCTCGGCCGGTTTCTACTCGTTTCGGCTATTTTTTGGACGAGCGATCATCTCTCGGAGCGCTCTCGACGCCTGGATGCTTTTTCTGGAACGCGCGCGCGCAGAACACTCATGTTGAAGCGAACTTGAATCACTCTTTTCCCGCGCGAAGCAGGGCCGCTCGTCCTCGCACGCGTCCGCGCTTTTCACGTCGCCGGGGCACGTGCCGTCGGACCCGACCTGGTGGTCCTCGGGGCAGGTGCAGAACCCGCTCGGCGCGCCGTAGTACGCGAAGACGTCGACGATCTCCGTGCCCGCGGGGCATTCCAGCGCGAGCACGCCGCCCTCGGCGACGTCGCCGCAGACGTGCGCGGACTCGCCCCAGGCGCCGAGCGTGTTGTAGAAGAGGACCTTGAGCGGGTCGTAGCTCAGGCGCGCGTCGCGCTCCGCGGCCGTCTCGCGCGCGCCCGTGTGGAACGCGACGATCGACGGCGCCGCGAGCGCGCTCAGGACGAGGAAGGCTAGTATAACAACTTTCAGCCCCTTGAAGTAGAGGTCCACGCCCAGGCCGTAGCGCACGAGGGGCCGCCGCTCGACGACGAGGCCGCAGCGCTGCAGGCACCGCGGCTGGTGCGCGCCGAAGTCCTCGCAGACCGCGTAGGACCTCCGCTCGCCGGCGCTCTCCCGGCCCGGGCGGTAGAACTTGCGCGTCTGGATTGCCGCGGCGTAGGACAGGAACTTGTGCTTCGCCGTGCCGCAGTCGGGCACGTAGCGCCGCCGCTTCACGCCCGACGCCTCGTCGTGGCCGTGGGCCTCGTTCATGCTGCCCCCCCGCCACACAAAAATGATCAACGTGACGGTAAATTGCACCGACCGATTTTTGCTTGACCCTTGCGTTCAGCTGATGACGACGCAGGTCTTCGAGCAGTAGCCACTCGAAACGACACGTGCGGCAGCGCGACCAAGAGCGCGAGCCACCCGCACGCACAGATGGCCGCGCAGGCCCTGGCGTGCCTGGGCTCGCGCCAGCACACGGACCGCGACGTCGTCGTCGTCGGCGGTTCCTTCGGGGGCCTCCAGTGCGCCCTCGAGCTCGCCAAGGCCTTCCGCGTCACGGTCCTCGACAACAAGGACGTCTTCGAGTTCACGCCGTCGATGCACACGGCGCTCGGGTCGCCGGCGCGGGACGCGGCGTCGCTCTTCGTCGGGCTGGACGACGCGCTGATCGCGGGCGTCCGCTTCGCGGTAGGCGTCGCGACGGGCGCGGACGGGACCGCCGTGCGCGCGACGCTCCGCGGCGGCGAGGCCGCGACCTTCCCCTACGACTACCTCGTCGTCGCGACGGGCTGCGCCTACCCCGGTCCGACGAAGGCGCCGCCGGACAGATGTATTTTACGGGACGAGCGCCTCGGGGCCGTCGAGGGCGCGCGGGGCGCGCTCGCGCGGGCGGCGACGGTCCTCGTCCTCGGCGGCGGCGCCGTGGGCGTCGAGGTCGCCGCGGAGCTCGTCGAAGCGAAGGGCGGCGCGGCGGTGACGCTGGCGACGGCGGCCGACGAGCTCGCGCCCGACCTGCCGCCGGCGACGCGAAGCCAGGCGCTCGCGTGGCTCCGGGACCGCGGCGCGACGGTGCTATTGGCGACGCGCGCGGCGCGCGTCGGCCCCGCGCCGCCGGGCCCCTTCGCGGGCGGCGACGTCGACGTCGGCGGCGAGCGGAAGCGCTACGGCGCCGTCGTCACGTGCTTCGGCGCGGCGCCCTCCACGGCCTGGCTCGACGGCTTCGCGGCGCTCGACGGCCGGGGCTTCGTCTCCATCGATGCCGCGACGCGCCGCGCGGTCCTCGTCGACGCCGACGCCAAGGTCTTCGCCGTCGGCGACGCCGCCGCGAAGCCGGACGCGCAGCGCCTCGCGTCGTACGCGCACCTCGAGGGCGAGTACGTCGCCGCCGCCGTCGCCGCGGACGCGGCGGGCGCGCCGCCGCCGGCGCCCTACGCGCCGCCGCCGCGGCTCGTCTGCCTCTCGCTCGGGGCCTACGACGGCGCCTTCGTCTACGACGCGGCGGTCGTGCCCCTGCCCGGGCGCGCGGTGCCGCTCCTGAAGAGCGCCATCGAGAAGTGGTTCATCCGCCTCCTCCCCATGCCCTACGCCGTCCTCAAGTGGCTCCCGGGCGACGACGCCGCGCGCGCGTGGTCCAAGGGCGGCCGGTGACGACGACGGCCGGCGCGTAACGACGACTACGTTTAGCCACCGCCGGCGCAGGCGGGCGGCGCGCTCGCCGGGAGCGCGGCGCGGCATAGGCCGCGCGCGGGCTCGGGCAGGCCGTCGAGCGCGGCCCACCACGCGCGGACGGCCGCCGCGTGGCCCCGGCAGGGCCCGCCGGCGCCGCAGGTCCCGAGGTCCGCCGGGTCGCAGCCCTCGGGTAGCTCCGCGCACCACGGCGCCGAGTTGAGGAAGAAGTGGTACGACTCGCCGGCGACGGTTGCGCCGCAGTCGCGGTTCGCGCGGCCCGGCGTCGCCGTCGCCCAGCCGCCGTCGTCGACGGCGACCCAGTCCGGGAAGGCGTGGTTCAGGATGGGCTGGTCGTGGCCCGGGCAGAGGCCCCCGGGCCCCGCGTCGCGGCGGAGCGCGGCGGCGCCCAGCGACGCGGCGTCGTACGACGCGTACGCGGCGCGGCCCGGCCGCAGGGCCATCATGCCGCTGTTGAAGCAGCGCCGCGCGCTGCGCTCGTCGCGGCGCGCGAGGAGCGCGAACTGCCCGGCGCCGTCGAGCCCCGCGAAGAGCGCGTCGAGCTTGCGCTTCAGCGACGGCCCGGGGAGGGGCACGTTGTCGACGTCGAAGAAGACGACGCGGTCGAAGGGCAGGAGCCAGAGCCCGCGCTTCCGGTTGCTCGGGACGCCGTCCTTGACCTTGATGACGCCGGGCCGCGCCGAGGACCAGCGCTCCTTGCGCACGGGCGGGCCCTCGAAGAGGTCCCACGTGCTCGCCTGCGCCGGACACGACCCGTGGCACGCCCCGTCCGCCGCGAACGTCGCGCGTCTCTCGCTCGGTCGCGTCGACGTCGTTTCGGCCGATTTTTAGTTGGACGATGTCGTTTTCTCTCGTCGAGCGGTTTTTCGAGAGCCACGCGCGCGTGTCGAAACCGCGTACGTGCATAGTGAAGTCGTGTTTCATGTGCGCGTGTCCCGCGCGCGCGCTCGCGAGGATCGCGCGCGTGGCCTCGGACGCGTTCGACACGACGGCCGTCCGCGGCCGCGTCGGGTCGGCCTCCGCGAGGAGCGCGCCGAGCACCGCGGCGCCGACGGCGAAGGGGCCGTCGCCGTAGACGAGCGTCGCGTACGTCTCCGTCTCCCGCCGCGGCGCCGCGGCCGCGGCGAGCACCGCCGCGCGGACCGCCGCGCCCGCCGCGGCCGGGTCGTCGCGGAGCTCGGCCTCGTCGACGGCCACGAGCGTCCCGAGTTCCGCGGCCGCGGAGGCGACCTTGCGCTCGCGGTCGCCCGCCGCCCGGGCGTCGCCGCCCGCGGCCTCGTCCCGCCGCACGTGGACGTAGACGAGCGCGGCCTCCGGGTCCTCGCGGCGGAACGCCTGTGCCGGAAACAACCGGTGGAACGTCCCGTCCGGCAAAAACCTCCCTAGCTCGGTCGCATCGAAGTCGTTTCGGCTGATTTTTGGACGGATCGTTTTCTCTCGGCGGGTTCTTTTGAGACAGCGAAACGAATATGTCACAACCGTGCGAATACTTGCATATTGAAGTCGTGTCGAATATTTTTGTGTCCCGCCCGGCGGAACGCGTCCGCGGCGCGCGCGAGCCGCGGCGGCGCGCCGGCGGCCCAGGCCGCGCCGCCGGACGCCGCCGCCGGCGCGACGGCCGCTAGAATCGGCCGCTGGGGCCCGCCGGCCGCGAGGCGCAGCGAGCACGCGAGCTCGCCGAGCGACGCGTAGCGCGCGCCGTCGCCGAACCCGTCGTAGTGGAACTTGGGCTGCTTCGCCGCGCGGAGGTTCCGCGGCGCCGGCGGCAGCTTCTTGTGGACGAAGCCGTGGAGCGCGTCGAAGGCCGCGACGGTCGCGACGCCCTCGAGCGCGCGCGCGGCGGCCTCGACGGCGTCCCGGGGCCCGCCGACGAACTGGACGAGCGCGGCCGGCCGCAGCGTCGAGTTCGCGGCGCAGGGCACGGCACCGCCGTCCCAGGCGCGCCCGGCGAGCACGTCCGCGGCGAAGCCGGGTTTTCGGGCCTTGGCGTCGAGGAAGCCGTCCTCGTCGACGGCGAAGGCGCCGCCGCCGACCGGCGCGGCGCCGTCGCGGAAGGGGCCGAAGAGGCCGTCGCGGCGGTCGCTCCAGATGCGGAAGTGGAACATGGCCGCCTCGACGACGGCCCCGTCGCCCGGCGACGCCAGGGGCCGGAAGGCGAGCGCGCCGCCGCCGTCGAGCGCCGCGGCCGCGGCCGCGGCGCCCGCCGGCGCGGCAACGCACGCGGACGACCGCGGGCACGACTCGTTGAGCCACTCCATGCCGCGGCCGCAGGGCCGCTCGACGGGCTCCGGCGCGCCCGGCGGGCCGAGCGCGGGCGCCGCGCGCGGCGCGGACGCCGCGTAGGCCGCGACGCGCGCCGCGCACGCGCCGCCGCGCGACCGCGCGCAGCGGACGACGCGGCCGCGGGCCCACCAGACGCGGTCCAGGGCGTGGTCGCTGAACACCGCCGGGAGCGTGAGCACGGACAGCGGCGCGAGCAGGGCCCGGGCCTCGGCGACGTCGAAGCCACCGCTCCCGGCGAGGCCCGCGAAGCGCGCGGAGAACGCGGCGGCCTCGTCGCCGGTGACCGCGCTGAAGAACGCGCAGCTGTAGCAGGCCTCGGCGCTCACGTAGCGGTCCCCCGGCCGCGCGGGCAGCACCGTCGGGCAGCCCGGCCCGCCCAGGGGCTCGAAGTTCCGCGCGGCCGGCGCCGCGGACCCGCCCTTTAGCTTGAGCCGCAAATTCGCCGCGAGGTGCGTGGAAAGGTGCGCGCACCTCAGCCAGCGGAGCATGGCCGCGTCGCTCGCCAGGTCCAGGAGCATGAGCTGGCCCCGCGCGAAGAGGCGCACGGGGTCCTCCTTCGTCGCGAAGGCCCACGTCGCGACGTCGTAGCCGTCGCCCGCCGCGACCCACGGCTCGAGGTCCCCGAAGACGACGTCCAAATCCGCGTAGCTCGCCCGGTCGAAGCCGGCGGCGCGGAGCTCGTCGCGCCAGGCGTAGAGCCAGAGGGGCTTGAGCTCGATGACGACGCGCGGCTTCGCCGCCAGGGTTTTTACCACCAGCGCCTCGACCGCGGCCCGGGCTTCTCCCGCGAGCCGGAGACCGCGCGCGGCGCCGGCCGCGAGGCCCCGCGCGACGCCGCCGGCGCCCAGCTCCCAGATCTGCACGTGGTCGACGCCGCGGCAGCTCGCCGGCACGCCCGCGCGGTCCGCGTCGTCGACGACGAGCACGAGCGTCGCCGCGGCGCCGCCGGGCCGCGCCAGCGACGCGCAGGTCGTCGCCGCGTAGCGCGGCATCGTGCCGTCGCCGAGCCAGAGCGCGACGAGCGCCACGCGCGCCGGCGCCGCCGGCGCCGCCAGCGCGGCGACGAGCGCCGCGCGCAGCAAGGCGCGCGGCGGGCAGCCCACCATCGTGCGAATGAATTAATTCCCAGGGCCCAGAGAACGGCACCTTTAGGTGCGTGCGGCCGACGTTGCAGAACGCGTCCACGGACACGCGCGGCGGTTCCACCGTGCCTCCCGACGTCGCCGCGCGCACACCGGCGGCGATCGGGTCGGCCCCCGGGCCCGACGACGGGTCCGCGCGCGCGTCCGACGCGCGGGCGCGCGGGCCGCGCGCGAGCACCGCGGAGCCGCGCGCCGCGCGTCCCAGCCCCCGCTCCCCACCTCGCCGCGGCCGGCCGCTCCTCCGACCCGGGGGGCCGCTCGGCAGTGCTCCCCGGGGTCGCGGGGCCGCCGGGCGAACGCTTACCGCGCGCGCGCGGCGCCGGCCGCGAACGTCGCCCCCCCCCCCGCGGCCCGCGTCGCTCGCGCGGCGCGCGGGCGCCTACGCGGCGAGCGAGACGGTCTTGCCCGCCTTCTCGGCCCAGCCTGCGGCGGCGCGGCGGTCGCGCGTCGCGCGCGGCGGCCGCGCGGCCGCGCGGCGCCCTCCCGCCCCCCGATCGCGGACGCGGCGGCGGCGCGCCCTGGAGCTTGCCGAGGAGCATCTGGGGGTCGACGGAGTCCTCGGCGACGACCGTGATCTTCTGCGTCTCGAGGTTCGCGTCGACGGACGTGACGCCCTCGCACTTGTTGAGGATGCGCGTGCACGCGCCGGAGCAGCCGCCGCAGGGCATCGTCGCGTCGAAGACCACGGTCTGAGGCATCGCGGCGAGGCGGCGGCGCGGGGGCGCGTCGGCAATGTGGGATAAGCCCGATCGATGCCGGCCGCGCGGTGATTGTGTTTGGCCGTCGATGCCGCCAACGTTTACCCTGCCCACGCGGTCGACCTTGCCCTTTGGGAATCCGGGGTCCCGCCTCCCGGCGTCGGCCCGTGCGCGCGAACGCGGTCGTCCCTATTTCGGAAAAACGGTCAGTACCGGCGGGTACGTCTAAGGAAGGCCCCAGCAAACTCTCACGCCCAACGGTGAGGGTGTTGCAGCGATCGGATGGCGTTCGTCCGATCCCTAGAGGAAATCCAGCCCAAAACCGACCCTTACGCGACGACATACGAGTCATTTTCGGCGCTCTAAAGGGCCGCGCGCACGTCGCCATGACCATACGCGACGGTCTGGCCAAAAAGACCGCGCGACGGCAGCGTTTTCTCGTCGGCGAAAAAAACGCGTCTCGGGCACCGAAAACGACCCCGAAACCGTCGGCGTGTCGCGGGACGTCGACGGGTCCCAGGGTCGTGCGCTTCGCGTCGCAGGTGTTGTGGTAGTCAAGGGCGGCCTCCGCAGCAGCCAGAGATCGTTGGAACCGCCGTCATCGATGCGAACTCGCCCGCCAGCGTCTCGCTGCGCGCTTTGAGCGCCAGTCCGCGGTCGAAATACGTGCGTCGGGACGATGTTCGACGTCGCGCCCCGTCCGCAGTACCTTCGTGGACCCTCCGAAGCGCTCGCAGCAGCCGCCGTAGTCGCGCGCGGCGCGGAAGGCGGTCCCGTCGACCGACCTCCACTGGTTTGCACTGCGGAGCGCACGGGCTGGTTTCGCGACGCGTTCGGGTTCCCGCGCCTCGATACGCTGCACACGCACTCTCAGTAGGGTCCTCTCGCGGCCTGCAAAGTTTCCCAAATAGGGACGGCCGCGTTCGCGCGCACGGGCCATCGCAAAAACCGCCACTGCGAGGCGGGACCCCGGCTTTTGGGAGCTGAGGCGCTCGGCTCGGAGAGCGGCCGCCGCGACTTCGCGCGCGCGGCGCCCCCGGGGAGTGGGGCCGCGCGCTCCCGCATGTGCCTCGGGACCGTCCGTGGCCAGGCCACTGCGAAGACACCGCGCGCGAAACGGTCCGGGCGTCGTCGAAAACGCAACGGCCTCGTCGGAGCGTTCTCTCGAGACGGCTGGCGCGTGTTGGACGTGTTCCGGACCTCGCTGGCCGTGTTTCTCCGGAGGAGTTGCGGAGAGGGTTACTACGAAGAACATGTCTCGCGAAACACGGCCAGATGTACCGTCGGACCACCTTACGGCCTCGATTCCTCGATTCTCATCGATTGGCGGCGGTCAAAACGAGCCAGTGTGCGGCGCCGCGACGCCCCTGGACGTCCAGAGCGGTTCCGATGCCCTCTCACGACCGATCACCGGGGCTCCGCTGGCCCGCGCGTCAGGTGAACGCGGTACTCGACAGCTACAGCTTGGGCGCCTCCTGCCAGCGCCTCGAAAACGACACCAACACGGTCTACAGCGACGACGCGCCCACGAACGCGGACTGGCGCTGTCGTTGCGTCGAGACATCTTGTCTCGACTCCAGAAGACGCTCGGCCGTCGAAACGGTGCTCTGCGCGCCTGTTTTCCTGCCGTTGGTGCCTCGCCAGTACACCCTAGCCGTACTAAACCAGTACAAACGCGTCGTATACGGCCGTATATACTCGCTTCGGCGCCCCGCGCGACCGCCTGGGGACCGTGCGGACTCCCTGGGCTAGCACGGACGTGCGTGGCACCCGCCGCCGTCGGGTGGACACGCGTACGTGGCGCTCGCGCACGCCGGAAATCTCCAAAAACCGACATTTTCGGCCATAACTTGTGCCAATCGATGACCTAGCATGATCGGCTGCGGTTCCGGAGCCCCAGATAAACGTCCATCACGATGAGACAAGCAGGGGGTCCGCGGTCGAGGTGCCCAAAATCGTCGATTTTCCAGTGGCGTGGGCAGGGTAAAACGTGCCGAAATCATCCGAGGCGCGTTGACGGCTGCCCCGTTGCCGCGCCCCGCGTCGTCGGCCATGAGCGAGCTGCTGCCGCCCGTGCGGAGCGACAGCGCGTCGAGCAGCCGGCGGTCCGACTCGCGGAATTCGGCGACCTTCGAGGAGGGGGGCCTCTTCGGCGCGTCGTCGTCGGCCGCGGGCCTCCTCGAGAGCGCGGGCCGCGACGGCGGCGTCTGCGACGACGACGACGTCTCCGAGTCGCCGACCATGGGCGAGGACTTCTACAAGGGCGTCGAGGGCTTCCTCGCGAAGCCCGCGCCGACGCTGCGCCACTTCTGCAAGGGCCCCCCGCCCGGGGGGCAGAGCCTACCGGTGCTTCGGAAGCAGCGGAGCGACCTCCGGCGGGGCAAGGTCCCCGGCGCGGCCCCGGCCGCGAAGCCGCAGCGGCGGCCCCGGGGCGACGACGGCGACCACGTCGACGTCGCCAAGGTCGCCGAGGCGCTCCAGTTCTGCGAGGGCCTCGCCGCGCGCGACCTCGCCGGCGGCGGCGGCGGCGGCGACCCCCGCGGCGCGCCGCGGCGCCGGTCCGAGGCCCCGCGGGAGAAGCAGGAGCGGCGCCGGGACGCGCGGCGGAGCAAGCTCGCCCCCGCGCGCAGCAGCGACGACGTCTCCGCGACCTACGGCGTCGCGCCCCGGGGCCGCCGGGACCGGAAGCCGCAGACTGTGCCGAAACCAAATCTTCAACCCGACTTCAATATGAGCGTATTCGAATGTTTTGACACAAGTTCTTCGGCTGGGCTTCGAGAACTCGACGAGAGCGATCGATCCGTCCAAAAATCAGCCGAATCGACTTCGATTTGACCGAGCTAGAGAATTCTCAAGTTTGGTCAGGACCACCCAAACCAGTGGTTGGTTTCGGCACAGGCCGCAAAAGGCCGAGTTCTCCGCGTCGTCCGCCAAGGCCGCGCGCGACCCGCGGCGCGTCGCGCCGGGCGAGGTCGACGCCCTCGTGCGCAACTTCGAGGAGGGCACGTCCCTCACGGAGCTCCGGAAGCAGCTCCACGCGTCCCGGAAGTCCATGGAGGACTCGGCGTCCGCGCTCCGCGCAGCGGCCGCGGACTTCCGGACGGGCGGCGCGCTCTAGGCGCACGCGCGCGCCTTATACCGAACGCGGTTTCCGCGCGTCTAGATGGGCTTGGGGCCGACGGGGATGAAGTCGGAGAAGCCCTGCCAGAGGACGCACGCGTCGGCCTCGGACTCGCACAGAATCTTGAGGCCGTACTGGCCCGCGATGATGATGACGAGCATGTGGTTCGGGTTCGCGTCCGGCGGGCCGTCGTCGAAGGCCTCGCGCGTGACGCGCGTGATCTCGGACACGGGCACGGACCTGGGGGCGCGCGCGCGTCGCGGCCGCGCGCGGAAACGGGGGGGCGCGGGCGGGACGCGCTTGTCGGCCTTGCCCTCCTTCTTCGAGCCCCAGGTCAGCTCGCCGGACGCGTTGATCATGAAGCAGCGCCGCAGCGCGCGGCCGTTGGCGCACTTGCGCACGGGCCAGCCGCGGCGCTGCAGCACCTTCCGAAACGCTTTGCGAAAGTCGTCGGCCGTGGAGATGGGCCCCGCGGCCTCGAGGATGTCGTCGCTCGCGAGGGGCGGCGCGCCGAGGTAGAGCCGCGCGTAGGCCCGCAGCGCCTCGTGGGGGTCCTCCTCCTCGACGATGCCGAGGTGCGCGCACTCGAGGGGCAGCCCGCCTGTGGAGAGGCACCGGCGGGGTCTCGTCGCGCGCGTTTGCGGGGGACGCGGGCGGGACGCGCAGTCGACGAGGGGGCCGCAGCTGAACATGCTCGGCTAGGTCGCGTCGCCGTCGTCGTCCTCGTCGTCGGAGGCGTACTTGTTAAAGTTGATGTTCTCGCTGCTCGACGGCGGCGCCGTGGCCTCCGGGTCCGCGCAGCAAAGAAAGAAGAGGGGGGACGACGCGAGGTCGACGGGCGCGGCCTTCGGCGGGGCGGGCGTGGGACTCGGGCTGCCGACACTGGCTTCCCCGCTCATCGGCACCGCATCGAGGATGGGTGGCTGGTGCCGTCGCGGCGTTCGTATCATCTTCGTATCCGCATCGGTTGACGTCAACGCCGGCCGCTTTCTAGCTTGCGCCGGTTGCTTTTTGTGGCAATCCCCACGCGGTTTGGCACCGCAGCCTCGCCCCGCGCGCACGTTTCCGCTCGCGCCATGAGCCGGCGCTGGGCGCCGTCGCTCGCGCTCCCCGCGGCGATCCCCGAGGACGAGGCCCTCGGCGCCGAGCGCCGCGACGCCGACGAGCCGGCGCCGGCGACGCGCGCGCAGCTCGACGCCGCCGAGGCGGCGCTGCGCAAGATGGAGGCGGACCTCGACGCCATCGGCGCGTCCCTCGGCGGGGCGTCGCCCGAGCGCCGCCGGAGCAGCGGCGGCAGCGCGAGCTCGGAGTCGAGCGCGGACGACGAGAACGTTCCGCCGTCCTGGGGCGACGACGCCGCGGGCCGCGTGCTCGACCGCTGCGACCGCGCCTTCGACGACGCGCCGACGAAGCCAAGGCGCGGCGCCAGACGCTGAGCGGGCCCATCGCGCGCCGCAAGGTCTGCGCCGCGGCCGCGCGCGGCGCGGCCGCGCCGCCGCCCGCGGCCGCGCCGCCGCCCGCGGCGGCCCGCGGCCGCCCCGCGAGCCCCGTCTACGACATCGCGAGCGCGACGACGCCCGAGTCCCTCCTCGAGGCGCGGTCCCGCATGCGCAAGGCCCACGCGCGCCTCGCGGAGGTCACGCGCCGCGGCGACGCCGCCGAGGCCGACTGCGCGTTCGTCTGCGGCGTCACGGCCGTGTCCCACGAGTGCGCGCCGGCGACGGCGACCTGCGCCTACGCCGACGCCAACTACGACCACGGCGCCGGCGTCCTCGCGCCCGAGCCGCCGCGGGGCCGCGAGTGCGACGACGACGGCGACGACGCGCTCGCGGCCCTCGGCATCTGCTCCGTCGCCCCGTCCTCCTGCACCGTCATGTAGGACGCCCGCCGGTGCGCCCCCTCCTCCCTTCGTGCCGCCGCCGTAACTTGTCTTCAACCTATGCTTGAACCTCTCGCTTGAAGTGGCAAATTCAGGAAATTCCACTTTGCCGGCTCGATTATGGCCTCGGCGCGCCGCGGCGCCGCCGCGGTCGTCGCCGTCGGCGCCTACGTCCTCGTCACCCGGAAGCGCGCCATCGTCACGCGCCTCCAGCGCTGGATCGCCGACGCGTCGTCCGGCGGCGGCTGGACGAATCTCGGCTGCGGCGACGGCGGCGGCGACTACGCCGCCGCCTGCGAAGCGCTCTGCCGCCTCGTCGCGCGGGACGTGCCACCGCGGAGCCGCGTGCTCAGCGTCGGCTGCGGCCGCGGGGCGGAGCTGGCGTGCCTCGCGGAGGCGGCGTCGTGCGTGACGGGCGTCGACGCGGGGATAACAGACGCCGACGTCGCCGCGGCGCGGACGCGGACGGTCGCGCTGCGCCGGGGCGCCGCGGGCGACGTCGCCGCGCTGGAGTCGCCGCGGCGCTTCTACGACGCCGTCCTCGCCGTCGACGCGGCCTACCACTTCGGCGCGGCCGAGGAGGCGCGGTTCCTCGCGGGCGCCGCCGATGTCCTCTTCGCCGGCGGCGTCTTCGCGTGCAGCCACGTCTGCGTCCGCGAGGGCGCGGCCCTGTCCTTCCGCGACCGGCTCCTGCTCTGGGCCTGCGACGTCCACCCCCGGCGGTCGCGGCGCGCGCTCGCGGCCGCCGTCGCCGCCGCGGGCTTTTCGGACGTCGCCGTCGAGACGGTCCCGCGCGTCCTCGACCGCTGGCCGTTCCTCGGCGCGCTGCCGCTGGACTACGTCGTCGTCCGCGCGACGGTCGCCGCGGGGAAGCCGCGGGGGCCCCGCGTCGCCGTCGTCGGCGCGGGCCTCTCGGGCCTCGTCTGCGCGCGGGCGCTCTCCGCGACGTGCGACGTCACGGTCTTCGAACGGGCGGCGCACGTGGGCTTCGCGAGCCAGAGCGTGGCCATGGCCGGGGGCGTCGTCGACGTGCCCCTGCGCATGATCGGCCAGGGCTACTACGACTCGCTCGAAAAGGTCTGCGCGGCGCTCGGCGTCCCCACGACGCGCGCGACGGTCGACTGCTCCTTCGCCGACTTTGGCAAAGCGGCGCACCTGCGCTACTCGGCGTCGCGCGTCGCGAACTTCCTCGAGCTGCGGGGGCGCTGGGCGCCCGCGCGGTCTTTGGACGCGGCGCTCCGGGACGCGCGCGACGGCGACGGCGCGCGATCCTGGGGGGCCTGGAAGGCGGACCGGGGCCTGGACGCGGCGTCGAACGCGTGCGTGCGGGCCTTGGACGGCCAGCTCTCCTGGGTGCTGTCCTGCTCGAAACGGACGCTCGAACGCTTCCCCGCGGGTCCCATCCTCGCGTACGCGCGGGGCCTCGGGCTGGGCCTCGCGGGCTGCCTCCTCGCGCGCGGCTCGCGGGACGTCGTCCGCGTGCGGCCGTCGGTCGCGGCGCTCGAGGCCGCGCTCGCGCACGGGTCGACGCTCGCGCTCGGCGCCGACGTCCGCAACGTCGGCCCGGACCGCGCGGTCGGCGGCCGCGGGCCCTTCGACGCCGTCGTCCTAGCCGTGCCGCCGGGCGCGCTCGCCGCGGCCCTCGACGTCGACGCCGTGCTGCCGTCGGAAGACCGCGATCTCTTCGCGGGCTTTGCGTCGGAGACGAACCGCATCGTGCTCCACGCCGACGCGCGGCTCATGCCGGCGGACCGGCGCGACTGGCGCGCGCTCAACGTGACGGGCGGCGACGGCGACGGCGGCGCGGCCATGTTGACGGTGTGGCTCAACCGCTACTACCCGGAGCACGCGTTCGACGGCGACGTCTTCCAGACGTGGAACCCGCACGTCGAGCCGGAGGCCGACCGCCGCCTCTCGCCGGACCTCCGCCTGCCCCGCGTCGTCCAGTCCTGGCCCGAGACGCCGAAGATCCAGGCGCGCGTCGCGGAGCTCCAGGGCGTCGGCGGCTTCTACTTCGCGGGCGCGCACGCGGTCCCGGGCATGGGCCTCCTCGAGCAGGCCTGCCAGGCCGGCGAGACCGCCGCCGCGCGCGTCCTCGCGGACCTCGCGGCCTGAGGAGGGACCCCGGGGGCGGCGTCCTATAAAGGCATTCTAAAAGTGTGGGCAAGTACTTGTGCGGCGGCGCACTTCAACATTGGCTCCTTGTGGCGGATTGTCCGAGCCAATCGGCGAATCGCCGATTCCCCAGCCAGCAGCCCTGCGTCGCGACAACACGTCCTTCCCTCGTCCATCAGCTCGCGCTGCTTGTTCAAGACCTCCGTCTTTGCAAACATGTCCGCCATGGCCATCAAGTCGCATCCGGGCCTCAAGACGCTGGAGGAGGTCGACACCGAGATGTACGAGCTCATCGAGCAGGAGAAGCGCCGCCAGGTGTGCAAAAATACGCCGCGCGCGCCGCCGGCCACCCGCGCGCCCCGCGCAGTTCACGTCCATCGAGCTCATCGCGTCGGAGAACTTCGCGTCCCGCGCCATCATGGACTGCCTCGGCTCGCGCGTCGCCCGGCGCCTGGGGCGCGGGCTCCGCGCGCGCGCGCGCCGACGCCGCGCGACGCGCAGGTGCCTCACGAACAAGTACGCCGAGGGCCTCCCGGGCAAGCGCTACTACGGCGGCAACGAGATCATCGACCAGATCGAGAACATGTGCAAGGCGCGCGCCCTCGAGGCCTACCGCCTCAAGACCGACGAGTGGGGCGTGAACGTGCAGCCCTACTCGGGGTCGCCGGCGAACTTCGCCGTCTACACGGGCCTGCTCCAGCCCCACGACCGCATCATGGGCCTCGACCTGCCCAGCGGCGGCCACCTCACGCACGGCTTCTACACCCTCGACAAGAAGACGATGAGCCGCAAGCCCGTGAGCGCGACGTCCGTCTACTTCGAGAGCCTGCCCTACAAGGTGCACCAGACGACGGGCCTCGTCGACTTCGACGAGCTCGCGAAGATGGCGGCCATCTTCAAGCCCGCGCTCATCGTCTGCGGCGGCTCGGCCTACCCGCGCGACTGGGACTACGCCAAGTTCCGCGAGATCGCCGACGCGAACGGGTCGCTGCTCATGATGGACATGGCCCACATCTCGGGCCTCGTCGCGACGCAGGAGGCCAACGACCCCTTCAAGTACTGCGACATCGTCACGACGACGACGCACAAGTCGCTCCGCGGCCCGCGGTCGGGCATCATCTTCTTCAAGAAGGACGCGCGCGGCTTCGAGGACAAGATCAACAACGCCGTCTTCCCGGCCCTCCAGGGCGGGCCCCACGAGCACCAGATCGCCGGCGTCGCCGTCCAGCTCAAGGAGACGACGAAGCCCGAGTTCAAGGGCTACGTGCAGCAGGTGAAGAAGAACATCAAGGCCATGGCCGCCAAGCTCGTGGACCAGTACGGCTACGCGCTCGCGACGGGCGGCACGGACAACCACCTGCTCCTCTGGGACCTGCGCCCCGCGGGCATCACGGGCTCCAAGGTCGAGAAGATCTGCGACGTCGTCCAGATCACGCTCAACAAGAACGCGGTGCCCGGCGACGTCTCCGCGCTCTCGCCCGGCGGCGTCCGCATCGGCGCGCCGGCCATGACGACGCGGGGCCTCGTCGAGAAGGACTTCGAGGCCGTCGCGGACCTCCTCCACGAGGCCGTCCAGCTCGCGCTCAAGATCCAGGCCGCCGCGCCCTCGAAGAAGCTCGTCGACTTCTCCAAGGCCCTCGTGGGCAACGCGGAGGTCGACGCGCTCCGCGAGAAGGTCAAGGGCTTCGCGTCGTCCTTCGGCATGCCCGGCCGCCCCTTCGGCAAGTACAACCCCGAGCCGTGAGCGCCGCCCGACCCGCCGGCCGCGCGCCCGGCCGCCCGCCCCCGCCGCGCCGCGCCGCGGGCCCATGCGCTCCCGGAGAGCCCATGCGCCCGCGCCTTGTCCGCGACCAGAGAGAGGTAACTCGTGCGCCTCGATCGCGAGGCTGTATTGAAGTTCACGTTGAAGGCTCGTTGACGGCCAAAACTCAGCGAACCTCAATCTCGACGCATTCTGGTGCGTGCTCGACGTGCGTTTAGCCCAGCGCCGCTACGCCACCTCGCGCGTTGCACGACTGCAATCCGTCTCCACCTCGCGCGTTGCACGACTGTACCATGATGCGCCCGCTCGCGGCGCTGCTCGCCACCGCCCTCGTGGCGCCGTCGCGCTGCTTCGAGGTGCCCGGCGCCGTCGCGGCGCTCGGCGCGAAATACGCCGACAGCATGGCCGCGCGGCCGCTGCTGACGAAGATGGGCACGTCCGCGGCCATCTTCGGCGCGAGCGACGCCAGCGCGCAGGCCCTGGAGCGCGCGCCGGCGCTCGACCGGACGCGGCTCGCGGTGACGACGGCCATCGGCGGGTTCTACTTCGCGCCGGCGGCGCACGTCTGGTACGGCGCGATCACGAAGGCCATCCCCGCCAACGACCTGCGGGCGATCCTGACGAAGGCGCTCCTCGGCCAGCTCATCTTCGGTCCGCTGGTGACGTGCGTCTTCTTCGCGTCCGCGCGCGTCCCCGGGCGGGAAACAAAAATAGTCAACACGACTTCAATATGCATGTACGGTTTTGACATAGTCTTTTTCACACTATCTAAAAAGAACTCGCCGAGAGAAAACGATCCGTCCAAAAATCAGCCGACACGACTTCGACGCGACCGAGCTCGAGAGGTTTGTGAAGTTTTTGTCGTTTGCAGGTGCCTCCAGTCGCCGGAGGGCCTCAAGGCGCTGCCGGGGAAGATTCGGAGCGATCTGCTGGGCGTCCAGGCCGCGGGGCTCGGCTTCTGGCCCTTCGTCGACCTCGTCTCCTACGCGTGCCTCCCCGTGGACTACATCCCCGTCTTCGTCAACGGCGCGTCCTTCGTCTGGACCATCTTCCTCTCCTTCAAGTCCCGGGCCGCGAAGCGCGCGCCCTAGGGCCCCTTAGGCCGCCTTCGCCTTGGCCTTCGCCGGGTCCAGGAGCGGGTGGACGGCCTCGCCGTAGGAGTTGACGGCCGTCGTCGCCTTGACGGAGACCATCCCGTAGACCACGCAGACGAAGGTCGCCATGACGTAGTTGTCGCTGAGCACCCAGCCGCCGTTGTCTGCGCGGGGGGGGGGTCTCGCGGCCGCGCGCGGCGCGCGGGGACGCGGCGCCGCGGGCGGTGGTCCACAAAGGCCTTGAAGCACGGCATCATGACCGCGTAGGTGAGCACGAAGATGAGGACCGTGCAGCAGAGCGCGTAGAGCTGGTACATGGTCGACAGCGCGTCGTCGCCGCAGCGCGCCGTGTGGTGGCCCGCGGCGGCGGTGATGGCCGAGGCCGCGAGCAGGCAGAGGCAGGCGAGGGGCTCGAGGGCGACGGGCTGCATGTAGAGGAGGAAGTAGGCGCTGATCGCCGCGCAGCCCGTCTGCACCTTCATCCACTTGACGAAGGCCGCCTTCGCGGCGGGGACGTCGGGCGCGGGCGGGGCAGCAGACGCCATCGTTTTGGGCAGCTCGAGTAATTTTTGTTGTTCGAGGCAACCGTGGCCACGGCACTTTAGAACTTGCCACGGCAACCCGCAGTTGAACCTCGGGAATTGCCGCAGCAGGCCTCGCAGCGCCCGCCCGACGAGCGCGCCCCGATCCCGCTCACGCTCCGCTCGATCGGCCGCTCGACCGGCCGACGGGCGGTTCCGTCCGCTACGACGCGGGGCATCCCCGGCGCCGGACAGCTCTTACGCTGGGCGCGGCGCGGCGCGAGCGCGGCGGCGCTCACTTGGCCTCCGGCGACGGCGCCGTGTTGTCCGCGGCGTTTTGCTCGATGTGCGGGAGGAACTTGCCGTTAAACGTCAAAACGACGCGGCGCTCGCCCTGCTTGCCGACGGTCGAGCCGACGGTGAAGTAGAAGTCGATCGCGCTCATGATGCCGTCGCCGAACTTCTCGTTGACCAAGAGCTTGATGGCGTTGCCGTAGTGCGTGATCGCCTCGTAGGTCCTGTAGACGTTGGGCTCCTTGAGGATTTCGGCGTCGAAGCCGCGCATGGGCGCGACCTCGAGCGTGTCGAGGTCCTCGGCCGAGATGCCGGGCACCGCCGCGGAGAACTTGGCGCGCGACTCGGGCTTGAGCTGCGCCTGGCCGAGGAGCAGCTGGCACGTGTACGCGTTCGTCCAGCCGAGGCCGTCGGCGATCTCGTCGAAGGTCTTGCCCGTGGCCTTCTTCGACGCCATGAGGCGCTCGGCGAGGTCGCCGATGGGCGGCGACGCGAAGGAGCGCGCCGCCAAGCGGCTCGCGGCCGGCTTCCAGGCGGCGGGCCTGGCGGCGACGCAGGACGAGCGGCGGAGGGCGGCGGCGAGCATTTCGCACGAAGAAAATGAAGGGGGCGGAAGGAAGGCTGCCCAAGTGAAACACCGCAATTGCTGTACGCCATGTAACAGCTACGTTGAAGGGAAGCAAGGTGATGACAGGGCTGCCCGGGGCAGCCCAAAGGAAGCCCGTCGACAGGTTCCCTATTCAGCAACCACAACACAGTTTTTTCGCAGCCGCGCGCCATAGTCTCGAGCACCATGGTCGCCCACAATGTCCTCTGCCACTCCAACGCGCACACGCAGCCCCGCCCCGTGGCCTACGAGAACAAGTACGTGAACGTGAAGCGCGTCTTCAACACGCAGCCCGAGGTCATGGGCTTCGTCATCTGCGTCGGCGAGACCATCCACGAGCGCATGCTCAAGAAGCCCATGATGACGATCCTCCTGTCCGTGCAGGCGGGCCTCCTGCTGTCCTTCGGCGTGCTCATGTCCTGCCAGGTCGGCGGCCGCTGGGGCAGCTCGACGGGCGTCAACAACTTCGTCTTCGCGGGCTTCGGCATCCCCTTCGGCCTCACCTTCATCGTCATGTGCCAGGGCGCGGAGCTCATCACGGCCAACTACATGTTCTGCTCCTTCGCCGTGCTCGCCGCGGACCCCGAGGACCGGCCGCGGCAGATCAAGGGCCTCCTCGGGAACTGGTTCTTCTGCTGGTGGTCGAACCTGCTCGGCGCCGTGCTCCACTTCGTCATGTTCGCCTGGTCCACGGGCCTCATCAAGTCCGTCGTCGTCGACGGCGACCTGTACAGCGACCCGACGAACTCGCTCGAGAACGACCAGACGCTCTTCTACGCGACGAACCAGGACTTCCGCGACGACATGAACGGCGACCTCTGCAGCCGCTCCAACTACGGCATGGCCAACCTCTGCAAGGTCGTCAAGGTCTGCCGCGCCAAGTGCACGGCCCACTTCACGACGTCCATCATCCGCGGCGCGGGCTGCAACTGGATGGTCTGCCTCGCGATCTGGCTCCAGATGATCGCGACGGAGCCCATCTCCAAGTTCATCATGATCTGGCTCCCCATCGAGCTCTTCATCTCGTCCGGCTTCGACCACCTCGTCGTCAACGAGTTCCTCATCCCCGCGGGCATCATGGTCGGCGGCAAGTACTACGACGACCGCTGCAACTGGGGCAACGCGTTCTGGTTCAACTTCGTGCCGGTCACCCTCGGCTCCATCGTCGGCGCCTGGTTCCTCGTCTTCCCCTTCTGGCTCATCAACAAGGACGGCTGGATGGCCGCCCAGAAGTCCAAGGCCGACGCGGAGTGCGCGCACACGATCGTCGGCGGCAAGCCCGTCGAGGAGTGAGCCCGGCGCGGCCGGCCCGCCCCCTGTCCATAGAAAAACGAGCGACCGCCGCGCCCCGGAGCCCCCCCCGAACCGACCCCGCTCCGGCGCGGCGCGGCCCCGCGGCGCCCTGTCCCCCGACCCCGAGCCCGCGCGCGGCGGCGTAGCGAGGCTCCCCAACGTCGCGTCTTCGGAAGGGGGTGGCGCTGGCGCTGGAACCCGTCGGACGTGCGCGCTGGTGAATTCGATTATGAATTGGAAGGGGAGCGGGCCCGCGCCGTCGTTGGCGGTCGCGGGGCCGCCGCACAGACATGGCGTGAAGAAGGGGCCGCGGAGCTCGCCCAGGAGGTGGAGCGCGCGGTCAGCGAAGATTGCCGAGGTTGGACGGGCCGGTCCGGCGGAGGAGCGGAGAGCACGCCCGGGATCGGGGCTCTCGGGGGGAGGGGGCGCGCGGTCGGGCCCGTAGGTCGAAGAAGCAAGGCGAGGTCGGAGTTCTCGAAGCGGTGCGGTCGGACCGAAGAAGAATGACAGGGCCGGGGGGATTCGCGAGGTGAGTGGGGCGGAGGGGTCTGCGAGCGCGGGAATCGCCGTCGAGGCGACTCGGTGGCGAGACCGAGGGGTCGGGGACTTGGTCGGCGCGCGCGGCGCGTCCGGTTCCCGGGGCGCCGCGCGGCGCCCGCTCAGAGGCCGCGCGGGGGGGCGTCGTCCCGGCCCTGGAGCTTGAGGACCTGGTCGAGGCGCCGCTCGAGCTTGCTAAGCGTCGCGGCCTGCTCGTCGAGCTTGGCCGTCTGCTTGTCGAGCTCGGCCGTCTGCTTCCGCTGGCTGAGGTAGACGAAGGCGAGCGACGCGACGAGCACGACGGCGGCGGCGGCCGTCGCGACGACGTGCTCGCGGCGGCTCTCGTTGATGATGGTCGTCGTCGACGTCTCGCGGATCGCGGCGGGCGCGGCGCGCGCGTCGCGCCTGAGCCACTTGCGGAGCTTCGCGTCGTCCGCGAGCGCCGCGAGGGACCGGCGGCGGCGGCGGCGCGTCTGCGTGTCGAGGGCGGGGACGTAGTCGCAGCACGCTTTGACGCAGGCGTCGTAGGCGGGCACGATCTCGTCGTCGTCGAAATCGTCCGCGTCGCTCGTCCCGTCCACGCCGCACATCGAGTCTTTGTTTTCGCCGACCTGCGTGCACGTGTCCCCGGAGCCGTCGCTCGCCACCCACGTGTCGTCGTCCTCGAGGCCGAGCTCCGACGAGCAGCGGTCCCAGCTAAAGTCGGGGATGGCGAACGACGGCGACGCGTAGCACCCGAAGGGCTGCGTGCTCTCGTCCCAGGCGTTGTTCTCGCAGTCCTCGTCGGCGGAGCCGTCGCAGTACGTCGAGTTGTGCCAGATCGGGTGCACGACCGTGATGCTCCCGTCGTCGTTGAGCACCTCCTGGTACTGCGTGCAGCTGTCGCCGGAGCACGACGTGTAGATGGCGATCTCGATGCCCGAGTTCGAACCGGAAGCCGGAGGAGACGGGGAGCGCGAGCAGCAGGGCGAGCGCGGCACGTGCCATCGGAATGCCTTGAAGATCGAGGCTGCCTGCTTCCGAACTCGGGCACGCAGCTGCGCGGACAATGCACCAATCTAATCTGCATGGCAGAGTTGACCAAGTTATTGAAGCGAACTCCCAGTAATATTGGAGGTCGTTTAAAGTAGAAGATGTAGGAATGAATTTAGTGGGCTGCCGATGGCACCGAGGGTGATGGTCCTCCTCGGCGCCGCGGCGTGGCGCTCCGCAACGGCTTTCGTGATGCCACAGCCGCGCGCCCGCGCGCGCGGTCCGCCGCTGGCGCTGCTGGATGGCGCAAGCGGCTTGGACGCCGCCCGCCCGGCGGCGCTGGCAGCGGACGGCTTGGACGATGCCCTCGCAGCAGCACACGACGCGCTCGCACCGCCGCGGCGGCGGGAGCCGGCCCCCGACGCGGACGCGGACGCGGCGCGGCAGGCCGAGCTCCTGCCGCTCCTGTCGTCGCAGGGGCCGCGGCTCCTCGCGCTCGCGGCGGTGCCCCCGGCGCTCGCGCTCGCGCTCTGGCCCGCGCTCGCGGACGGCGTCGGCGACTTCCTGAGCTCCTACAACGGCATCAACGGCCGCAGCATCGACGGCAACGCCTTCGCCGTGCAGCTCCTGCGGCCGACGGTGAACGGCGGGGCAGGAAAAGAGAGCGAAATTCCCAACTTCAAAGGCTCACTATCTCGGCCGTTTTCCACTCATTTCGGCTGACTTTTGGACGAGCGATCATCTCTCGGAACGGTCTCGAAGTGTTGCTTGTCTCGGATCGCGCGCGCGCGGAACACTCACGTTGAAGCGACGTTGAATCTCTCTTGTCCTGCCCAGGTGAACGGCGTCGTGCTGCCGACGCTGTCCATCGCGCTGGGCACGCTCCTCGCGACGACGATCAACGTGCTCCGGAACCGCCAGGTGCAGATCCGCGCGGCGCTCAACAAGGAGGCCTGCGAGCTCCGGCTGCTCCGCGCGGCGCTGCTCGGCGCCTTCGGCACGGCGCGGCGCGGCGCGGGACACGGGCGCTTCGACGTCGCTTCGACGCGAGTGATCCGCGCGCGCGCGTGCCGAGAGAGGCGCCTCCAAGGTCGGGAATGTCGCGCGCTCGTCCTGCCCAGGCGCAGCACGCGGACCGGCGGCGGCGCGCGCTCGCGCTCGTCCGCGACTACGCGGCGCGCGTCGTCGACGAGGCGACCGTCGGCGCGTTCGGCGCCGTGACGCGCGAGGAGCTGCGCGGCGGCGTCGGCCGCAACGAGCTCGAGCCGCTGTCGTCGATGCTCCACGGCGTCGAGGGCGCGCACGCGAGCCGCGAGGCGTCCGTGGCCGCGAGCCTCCACCTCGTCGCGTCGCTCAACGGCCACCGGAGCGACCGCCTCGCGGCGCTCCTCGGCGGCTTCCCGGCGATCCACTGGTTCGTGCTGGGCCAGCTCGCGGCGTCCATCGTCGTCGCGTTCCTCATCGAGTCGAACCAGGAGGTGCTCCAGTTCCTCAACTCGCTCCAGCTGCGGATCCTGTTCGCGCTCATCATCGCCGTCTGCTCGTCGACGGCGACGTTGTGCGTGGACCTCGCGGACCCGTTCCGCGGCCGCTTCTCCGTGATCACGGCGGCGGAGCAGGTCGCGGACCTCGAGCGCGTCCTCGCGCGCGACGTCGCGGCCTGCGACGACGGCGCGGGCGGCTGGCGCGCGCGGGACGCGCTGCGCTTCCACGCGCTCACGTCGCCGCTCTACGGGGCGCCCGTGCGCGCGCTCGGCGACGCGGCGTCCTACGCGTCGCGCCGCGTCGTCGGCCCCGCGGTCCGGCGCGCGCGCGCGCTCCGGCGGCGCCTCGGGCCGCGCGGGGGCGACGGCGGGGCGCGGCGACCCTAGACGAGCGCCGTCGCCGGCGGCGCGTCGCCGGGGGCATCCCCGGGGGAGGGCGCGGGCGGCGCGGGGCCGCCGGGCGTCGCGGCGGCCTCGAGCGCCGCCGCGAGCGTGGGCGCGCGCCGGCGGACGCCCGGGCCGCCGCTCCGGTCCCGCGGCGCCCGGGCGTGGGACCGGAGCTCCTCGACGGCCCGCGCGTGGTCCGCGACCGCGGCCAGCGCGGCCTCGAGGCCCCCGGCGCCCGCCGCGTCGAGCTCGAGGACCCACGCGGCCTCCGGCAGCTCGCAGGGGTCCTCGACGTAGCCCTCGCCGCCGAAGCCCAGGGCGCCGTTGTCCGCGTCGGGCGCGCGCCTCGGCCGGCCCCCGCGGCAGGCCCCGCGGAGCGCGGACGGGAGGAGCACGCCGAGCGGCCCGCCGCCGCGCCGCGCGGCGTCGAGCGCGGCCGCGCGCGCGAGGCCCCGGGCGAGGTCGCCGAGGCCGCCCTCGGACGCGCGCAGGTTCCAGACGCTCTTCAGGGTCTTGCTCGCCGCGAGCTTGGCCCGGAGGCCGCCGCCCGGCGTCGCGGGCGACGCCGCGGGCGCCGCGGGCGGCTCGAGCGCGTCGGCGACGAGGGCCCGCGTCGCCGCGACGTCGAAGAGTACGCAGCGGCTCGGCGCGGCGAGCGCGCAGCATGGCGGCGCCGCGCCCGCCGCGAAGACCGCCGCGAGGCCTGTGTGCAAATCAACCAGTGAGCTGGGACGTCGGGGCCAAACTTGAGAATTCTCTAGCTCGGTCAAATCGAAGTCGATTCGGCTGACTTTTGGACGAATCGATTGCTCTCAGCGAGTTCTCGACGCAGAGCCGAAGAGCTTGTGTCGAACCTTTCGAATACGCGCACATTGAAGTCGGGTTGAAGATTTGATTTGCACACAGCGCGAGGCCGACGCAGCTCCCGGGCCCGAACGTCGCGCCGCACACGCGCAGGCCGCCGCTGACCACGAAGGCCCAGGCCCCGGCGAGCGCGCGCTCGAGGTCGTCGTCGGCGCCCAGCACGGCGTCGCGGCCGAGGCGCGCGAGGGGCGCGACGTCGCCGACGGCCGCGAGCTCCGGCGCGGCCCTCAGGCACGCGCCGACGTCCGCGAAGGCCTCCGAGTGGCCCGTGAAGAGGAAGTCGAAGAAGGACACGAGCCCCGAGTACTGGAGGCCGCACTTGCGCTCCGAGATGGCGAGCTTCCGCGCGAAGCGCTCCCGCTCGCCGCAGTCGATGCGGCCGCTGTGGAGCAGCTTCTCGGCGTTCGCCGCCTCGCGCCGCAGGAGCACGCGCACGGCCGCCTCGGTCTTGACCGTCCGCGCCATCTCCGGGAAGGCCGACGCGTAGGCGCCGATCCACGCCTCGGCCTTGCCGACGTCGTCGCGGAGCCGTCCCGCGGACGCGTCCTCGCCGCCGGCCGCCGCGTCGCGCGCCGCGCGCTCGCACGCGCGCGCGAAGTTCGTCGCGCACTCGAAGGCGAACTGGAGCTTGAAGAGGCGCCAGGCCTTGAGCGGGCCGCCGCCGCACCGCTCCGGGAAGTCGAGGTCGATGGCGTAGGCCTCGAGCCGCGGCCGGAGCACGCCGTCCCAGAGGCTCGCGCGCTCGGCGACCGCCGCCTCGGCGTCGCCGGCACCGCCCCGCGCCGCACCGCCCGCCGGCCCCTTCTCGAGCCGGAAGATGCGGTCGACGGCGACGTCGCAGACCTCGGCGAGCAGCTCGAGCGAGTCCGCGGACACGAACCCGGCGTGGTGCAGGTGCCAGAGCTCGGCCTTGAGCACGGCGGCGACGCGCCGCTCCTCGCCCCAGACCTCGCGCGCGCTCCGGGGCGTCGGCGCCTCCGGCGCCGGCGGGGGCGCGCGCTTGAACCTCGCGTCGTAGCCCGCCCAGCGCCGCCGCAACACGAAGGGCACGCGCGCCTCGCGCGCGCGCGGCGACCGGCTCGCGTACGTCGCCGCGTCGTGGACGGGCAGGTACTGGCAGACGACGGCCGCGTCCGCGCCGCCGAGGTAGCGGTCGCGCTCGACGACGTCGCGGAGCGTCGCGTCGCTCCGCTCGCCGAGCTCGCGGCACGTCGCGCGGAAGCGCCGCTCCTCCTCCACGGACGGCTGCGACAGGCCGAGCTTGGCGAGCGCGAACTCCATGGACGTGCCGTTGACGACGAGCGTGAGGCACGTGATGCCCGCGACGGCGGACATGACGTCGTCGCGCACGCGCGCGTCGATGTTCTCGTTCTCCTCGACGACGAGCGCGAGCGCGAGCCCCACGGCGCCGCGGAGCGCGCCCCAGCCGAGCGCGCCGAACTGGGGCAGCCCGAAGCCGTAGCCCATCCTCCGGAGCAGCGGCGACAGCAGCGCGAGCATGGCGAAGCGCACGGCCATGAGCGCGACGTAGAGCGCGCAGAGCTCGCCGAGGCGGCCGAGGCTCACGCGGCTCGCGATCATCGCGCCCGCGACGAAGAAGATGGACGTGTTCGCGACGAAGCCCGCGAGCTCCCAGAACGCGTGGAGCCGGTGCGCGGCGGCGGCCGTGCCGTGCTCGCGGCCGCGCGCGCCGAGCGTGACGCCCAGCGCGACCAGGGCGAGCACGCCGGACGTGAAGGACGCGCCGTCGACGGTCACCATCTCGCAGAGGCAGAACGTGCCGTAGGCCGCGGCGAGCGTGAGCGCGATCTCCGCGACCTGGGCAGGACAAGAGTGCGAAATTCCCAACTTCAAAGGCTCCTCTCTCGGCCGGTTTCCACTCGTTTCGGCTGATTTTTGGACGAGCGATCATCTCTCGGAACGGTCTCGAAGCGTGGATGCTTTCTCCGGAACGGGCGCGCGCGGAACACTCACGTTGAAGCGACGTTGAATCACCCTTTTCCTGCCCCGTCCGCGACGGGGTCCTCGTAGACGAAGCCCAGGAAGACGCTCGCGGCCTGGCCGACGGCGGCGCCCAGGAGCGGCCCGCAGAGCGCCATGCGGAGCGCGTAGGGCGCGACGACGGCGAACCCGAGCGACGACACGCCCTCGCGCGCGCACCGCCGGTAGAACACCGAGAAGATGACGATGGCCGTGCCGTCGTTCAGCAGGCTCTCGCCCTCGAGGAGCGTCGCGAGCCGCTTGGACACGCCCAGCTCCGACATGAGCGCGACGACGGCCACGGGGTCCGTCGCCGAGAGGATGGACCCGAGCAGCGCGCACGCGGGCCACGGCAGCCGCGGGGCCCCGGCGCCGTCCAGGTAGATGGCCCGCGCGCAGCAGGCCGTCGCCGCCGTGCCCAGGACGACCCCCGGCACGGCCAGCACTAAAATCTGCCCCAGCTCGTTGAAGAGCGTGTGGAAGTCCGTGTTGAACGCGCTCTCGAAGATGAGCACCTGCGCGGGACACGGGCGATGCGACGTCGCTTCGACGTGGGCGTGCCGCGCGCGCGCGTTCCAGAGAACGCATCCGCGCTCCGAGGGCGCTCCGAGGGATGATCGCTCGTCCAAAAATCCGCCGAAACGAGTGGAAGACGAGGTGGGACGTTCGCGCGCTTGTCCCGCCCCGGCGAGCGCCGGTAGAAAGCCGTAGAGGATGAGGTGCGGGTCGACGACGTCCCAGCTCCGCACCATGCGCTCGACCTTGCCGAGGTGCGCCGTCTTCGCGTCCTCGTGGTCCCATACCACGCCCGCGACGACGCCCAGGCCCAGGAGCCAGACCGTGTAGGGCAGCTTCTTCGGCAGGAGCGTGCGGGCGAAAATGCCGGCGAATAAAGCGAGCACGAGGAAGGCCAGCGGCGCGCCGGGGTGGCCGTGGTGCGCGTGCGCGTCCTCCTCGTAGCCGCTCATCGCCCGCGTCGGAGACTGTGATGATGGTGTTCAGGGGCAGCCCATGTCGATCCCCAGCCACACAGGCTCCTTCAACGTCGATGCATCGTGCGGAGCTCCGGAGATCGTAGTCTGCAAGCGAGTCGATGGCCGACTCGAGCAGCAGCGACTCGTCGCCGGACCGCGCGCCGCCGCTGCACGTCATGGCCGACAGCAGCGACAGCGACTCGTCGCCGGACCGCGCGCCGCCGCTGCACGTCATGGCCGACAGCAGCGACAGCGACTCGTCGGACCGCGCGCCGCCGCCGCGCGCCACGGCCGACTCGAGCAGCGACGGCGACGGCGCGCCGGACGCCTTCCTCGCCGCGTCGTCGAGCGGCAGCAGCGACGGCGACGACGCGCCGCGCGGCGCCGCCGCCGAAGCGCGCATGGACGGCGTCGACGCCTACGGCCGCGTCGCCGGCGAGGCGCACACGGCCGCGCCGCTCGAGGCGTCGCGGGCCGCGCGGCTGTCCGGCCTCGAGTCCGCGAGTTCGCTGTACGCGCTGCAGCAGGTGCTCCAGCGCGACGACGGCGCGGCGACGGGCGACGCGCTGAGCGCCTTCGCGCGGGGCGTCCACGGCCGCGACGCCGCGGTGCTCGCCGTCGCCGACGCGTGGGCCGCGCGGTCGCCGCACCTGGGCGAGCTCTGCCGCGCGTTCCGCGCGCGGTGCGGCCCGTCGGACGACGCCAAGGCCCTCGGCTGCCTCCGCGCGCTCGCGGCGCTCCTGCCGCGGCTGCCGGCGGCCGGCGCGGCGGCGGTCTGGGCGACCGTCGCGCGGGAGTGGGGCGCCGCGTGCCAGAAGAGCCTGCGGCGGACGCACGTCGCGCTGCGGCAGGCGACGCTCGGCGCGCTCGAGGTCTGCGCGCGGTCCGTCGGGGCCCCGGCGGCGCGCGTCGTCCTGCGCTGGATCGACGACGACGACGTCTGGCGGACGCTGGCCGCGCCGGGCGCGCGCGCCGCGCCCCGGGGCGACCGCCGGGGCGCGTCGACGCGGCAGCAGTGCGTCCGCGTCGCCGCGGCCGTCGTCCGCTTCGGCGACGCGAGTACGCGGGCCGACGCGTGCCGCGACGGCGGCGTCGTGCGCTTGGTCGTGGCGAAGCTCGCCGACGACGCGCCGCGGCACGCGAAACTTCTGCTCGACGCGCTCCGCGCCGCGTCGGACCGCGACGCCGTCGGCGTCCTCGCGGCCGCCGAGGGTCTGGCGAGCCTGCGGAGCCTCGCGGCCCTCGACGCGTCGACGCGCGCGGGCGACGGCGGCGCCAAGGCCTGCGCGAAGGCCGCGCGGCGCTGGCTCGCGAAATTGGCGACGCGCGATGTGTGGCTCGCCTGGGCCGCGCGCGGCGAGCCGCGGCCCGCGCACCGCCGCGTGCTCCGCGCGCTCGACGCGACGGAGCCGTCGCAGCGCGCCGCGCTCGCCGGCGCCGTCGCCGCGGCGCCGCCGCTCCTCGAGGCGTGGCTCGCCGTCGGCGCCCGGGGCGCGCTCACGGCGACGCGGCCCTGGGACGCCAAGCCCGGCGAGCCCTGCGCGCCGCGCGCGCTCGCGGGCTGCGACGCGCTCGGCGCCGTCCTCGCCGCCGGCGGCGCGGGCGCCTCCGGGGCCTACGACCGCGCGGCGCGGCCCCGCGACGTCGCCGTCGCGGCCGTCGCGCGGTGCCTCCCGCCCGAGGACGTGCTCTCGAAGAAGGATCTGGGCCGGGGCCTCATGCACGGCGACCCGGCGGCGAACCGGGCCGCGCTCGTCCTCGTGTTGCGCGTCCTCGACCGCTTCGCCGCGGAGCGCGGCGCCGCGGTGGAAATCTTCGGCGGCTGCTCCGGCGCCGCGGAGCGGCCGCCCGTCAAGGCCATCCTCGAGGTCGCGAAGCGGCTGCTCGAGGGCGAGGACTTCGACCTCGAACCGCACCGGCGGCGCGAGAAGCCCGGGCGGCGCGTCGACTACGAGTGCCGCGCGCTCCTCCGGACGCGGCTCCCGGAGCTCCAGACGTTCCTCGGACTCTTGCCGCGCGCGGGCGCGCCCTTCGCCGAGGTCCACGGCCTCTTGCTCGCCGCGCTGCTCCGCTACGCGCGGGAGCTGCCCGAGGCCGTCGCGGCGGGGCGCTTCGACTTTTGCAAACTCTGCGCGCGGGGCTTCGACGAGGCCTGGCCGGCGGCGCTGCTCGCGCCGCTCGCGCGCCTCGCGCGCGCCGTCGACGGGCCGCGGCTCGCGCGGGGCGACGACCCCGCGGCGCGCCGGTGCCGGGACCGCGTCGTCGACGCCGTCGCCGACGGCGAGGCGCCCGTCGCGGCCGCGGCCGCGCGGTTTTTGGAAGAAGCGCTCGCGCGCGAGGGCCTCGACGGGACGGAGATCGCCGCGTGGGTCGACGCGCTGGCGGCGGCCCCCGTCGGCGCGAGCTTCGGCGCCGCCTGGGACGCCGCGCGGGACCACCGCGGCGCCTTCGAGGGGACGTCCGGCGCGCCGCCGCCGGCCGTCGGCGGCGCGGCGAGACCGCCGCGGAAGCGCGACCGCGACGCGCCCGCCGTCGACGTCCTCAACGCCTACGTGCGCCGCCGCGAGGAGGTGCCGGAGGCGGCGCCGCCGTCGCTGGGGCGGGCGCTCCTCGGCGCGGCGCTCCGGCGCGGCGACGGCGACCCGGGCTTCGCGCCGACCGCGGTCCTCGCCGCGCTCGACTACTACTACGCGGGCCGCGGCGACGCCGCGCGCGCGGCGCTGGCGGCCGCGGCGCCGACGGCCCCGCCCCTCGTCGCGCTCGGGGCCTTCCTCGACGGCGGCGACGGCGCCGGTCTGCCCCTCGGCGGCGGGCTGTGTGGAAATCAACCACTGGTTTGGGACGTCCCGACCAAACTTTGAAATTATCTAGCTCGGTCAAATCGAAGTCGATTCGGCTGAATTTTGGACGAATCGATCGCTCTCATCGAGTTCTCGACGCACAGCCGAAGAGGCTGGTACGAACCGTTCGAATACGCGCACGTTGAAGTCGGGTTGAAGATTTGGTTTCGGCACAGGCGACGGCCTCGCGAGCTGCCTCGCGCGCGCGCGCCGCGGCGACGGCGCGAGCCTGCGAGACTTTTTGGAGGCCGCGCCGCGGCCGCCGGCGCGCGCCGTCGGCCGCTGCGTCATGGCCGCGACGGCCCTGGACGCGGAGCGCGGCGACGCGGCGCTCCTCGCGCCGCTGCGGTCGCTGCTCCGCGACGCGCTCGCCGTCGCGGGCGCCGCGGAGGCGTTGGACGGTCCGCTCTTCGGGTCCGCGCTGGCGCTGAGCGCCGCGGGGCCGGCGCTCCTGCGGCCGCTCCTCGGCGACGTCTTCGAGGCCGGCGGCGGCGGGGCGCGCGCGGCGGCGCTGAGCCGGCGGTGCCTCGACGCGGACCTAATGGCCGCCGCGCCCGACGCCGTGCGGCTCGCCGCCGTCGCCTCGGCGCGCGCGGACGTCGCCGCGGCGGCGGGCGCGGCGCTCGCGGCGCCGACGCCCGCCGCGGCGCGGCGCCTCCTGGACCTCTGGGCCGCGGCGCCCCACGCGGCGCTCGACGCGGCCGTCGCGGCCGTCGCGGGCCGCGTCGCTCTGGCCGCGTGCGCGGGAGGCAGCCGCGACGCGTGGGTCGCCGCGGCGCTCGCGCGGCCGACGCCCGGCGGCGACGCCGCGCTCGCGGGCCTCTGCCGCGGGTCCGCGGCCGCGCGCGCGAAAGCCCTCGCGGCGCCGGCGGCGCGGCTCCGGCGGCCCGCGGTCGCCGAGGCGCTCGCGGCGCACGGCGCCGCGGGCGCGACGCGCGACGACGCCGCGTTCGCGGCCTTCGCGTCGGACGTCCTCCCGGGCGTCGCGCTCGCGCACCTCGACCGCGCGCCGCTCTGCCGCGTCGCGCTCGGGCTTTTAGCCGACTTCCCGCCGAACGAGGCGGGGCTCTTCGGCGCGTTTTCGTCCTTCGACTGCTCCGTCGCCGGCGCGGCCTACCTCGAGGCGCTCGGCGCGCCGCTCGACGGCTTCCTCGCCCACCACTGCGCGCCGGGCGGCGACGTCGCCGTCGCGCGGCGCCTCGCCGTCGCCGGCGCGGCCGCGGCGCCCGCGGCCGCGGCGGCCGCGGTCGACGCGGCGCTTTTGGATCCGACCGCGGCGGCGCTCGACCGGGCGAGGTACATGGCGCAGGCCTGCGAGCAGGCCTGGGACGCGACGGCGCGCGTCGCGTCGGGCGCCTTCGCCGCCGCGCTCGAACGCGGCGCGACGCGCCTGCCCGCGCTCCGGCTGCTCCTCGCGCTCGCGCCGTCGACGCGCGTGTGGAAACCAAATCTTCAACCCGACTTCAATGTGAGCGTATTCGAATGTTCTGACACAAGCTCTTCAGCTGGGCCTCGAGAACTGGACGAGAGCGATCGATCCGTCCAAAAATCAGCCAAATCGACTTCGATTTGACCGAGCTAGAGAATTCTCAAGTTTGGTCAGGACCACCCAAACCAGTGGTTGGTTTTCACACAGGTCGACGCGCGACGGCGCGGTGCTCCGGCGCCTCGCGCTCCGCCGCTACGGCGCGACGCTGCGCGTCGAGGACCGCGTCGCGCTGCGCGCGCTCCAGGCCGGCGGCGCGACCGTCGACGGGCCGGAGCTCCGGGCCTGGGCCGAGGCGGCGTCCGGCGGCGCCGCGGCGCCGGGCGGCGCGTGGCTCTTCGACGTGTTAGACCGGGAGGCGCTCGAGCGCGCCGCCGCGGCCTTCCCTCTCCGCCGCGCGGCCGTCGACGACGAGGAGGACGACGACGGCGACGACGACGACGGCGCCTCGGCGGACGGCGGCGCGGGCGACGGCGACGGCGCGAGCGACGGCGAGAGCGGCGGCGAGAGCGACAGCGTCGACGACGACGCCGACGCGCCCGTCGACGACGGCGACGACGACGACGACGGCGCGGGCCCCGGCGCCGCCGGCGACGACGGCGGCGGCGGCGACGGCTCCGACGACGACTCCGACGACGACGGCCTCAGCGTCGCGTCCGGCGACGGCGACGGCGCCGCCGCCGACGGCCGCTACGACCCGCGGTTCCTGCTGCCCGTGGGCTTCGCCGCGCTGCGCAACGCCGGCGCCGCCGACGCCGCGCGGCTCGCGCGGCGCGCGCACGAGGGCGGCTTCCTGGCGTACGCCGTCGCCGCGACGGCGTCGGCGCGCGCGTCGACGCGGGCCTACGCCTTCGGCGTGATCGACGCCGTCGCGGCCGCGTGCCGCGGCGACGCGTGCGCGCGGGACCGGGGCTTCGGCGCGCGGCCCGTCGTCGCGCGCGTGCTCGACGCGCTCCGCGCGGGCGCCGCGGCGGGCCCGCGCGGCGCCGCCGCGGCGCCGGGCGCGCGGCGCGGCGCGCCGCGGCTGCCCGCGCTCGCCGCGCGCGTCGCCGCGGGCTGCCTCGCGGCGCTCGACTCGCCGGAGCGCGACGGCTACGCGGCCGCGCACGCCTACGCGCTCCGGCGGCCCGCGCTGCGGCCCTGGCGCGACGTGCCCCTGCTCAAGGAGGCGTTGGGCATCAAGGAGTCGCGCTGCGGCTTCGTCGCCGTCAAGCCCTTCACGTCGCTGACGCCGGAGAGCGCGCGCGCGAAGCGCGAGCGGCGCTGGGCCATGCGGCTGCTCCGCGAGGGCTGCGCGGACGACGCGTCGGGCCGGCTGTTGCGGAACTCCCGCGCGCTGCCGCGGCTCTTCGCGCACGTCGACTGCGTCGGCACGGGCGGCTGGGACGAGGAGCTGGGGCGCCTCGCGTTCCACGGGAACGTGCCGCCGGGCTGCGCGTCGCTCTTGGACGAGCCGAAGCGGACGCTCCGGCGCGTGAAACGGGACGTCCGCGACTGCCTCGAGGACGCGCACGCGCTCCTCGGCGCGGCGCTCGCGACGCGGGCCGCGCGGCGCGCGTGCTTCCACGAGGTCGGCGCGACGCCGTGGCTCGGCACGCACGTCTTCATGGAGCCCACGGGCGAGGGCAAAAACTGGGCCAAGGTCGCGCGCTACGCGGGGTGGCTCGCCGCGATCTTCGCCGAGGCCGCGCGCGACGACGACGTCCTCGAGCGCGCGCCCCTCTTCTTCACGGACCTGTCGTCGCAGACGCGCAAGGTCCTCGACTGCGTGACGGACGCGGACGACGCGCGCGTGCTGCCCGAGGGCTACGAGCGCGCGCCCCGGCGGCGGACCGCGGACCTCGCGCCGCTGGCCTACGCGAGCGGCCAGCTCACGCGGCGCGAGACGCGGACGGAGGCGGACGCGCGGCGCCGCGAGGCCGACGACGTCTTCTCCGACGAGGACGTCGACTACCCGGACCTCGACCTCGGCGAGGTCGTCGCGGGCATCCGGAAGCAGCTCGAGGTCGAGAAGCGGCACCGCGAGCGCGACGCCGAGGACCGCGACGCGCCGGAGAGCTCCGACGACGACGAGGCCGCGCCCGCGGCGGCGGACGACGCGCGGTGCGCCGCGTTCGCGGCGACGGACGCGCTGCTGCTGCTCCACTACCGCCTATCGAACCGGCTCAAGCCGCCGCCGCCGGCGGACGAGACGGACCTCGTGCCGGCGAACCTGGATTTCGGCTACGTCGTCAAGGACTGCTACTTCTACGTCTTTGGAATGGACGGCGCGCCGGCGAAGCGCGCGTCGACGCCGCTCGACGCGGAGATCCTCGCGCTCGTCGTCGCGAACCGCTGCGAGCTCGGCGAGCTGCACCTCGGCGCCTTCTACGGCGACGACGGCGACGACGGCGGCGACTGGGCCGACACGCCGGAGCTCGCGGAGCTCCGGCGGAAGCTCGCCGAACTCGACGCGGACGATTCCGCGGCCGCGGAGCGCGCGGAGGGCCGGCGGCGCGACCTCGCGGACTGCGCCCACGTCCTCGACTTCGTCGTCGACACGCTCGTGCTCGCGCCGCGGGGGCGCGCCGTGCACCCGCGCCGCGGCGCGGTCGCGGCGCTCAAGTTCGCCGCGCGCGCCGCGCGGACGTCCGAGGACCACCGGCGCGCGTGGCTCGCGAGCGTGGCCTTCGCCAAGGTCCTCGCGCTGCGCGGCCGCCGCGGCGTCGGCCTGGGCCTCTTCGGCGGCGACGGCGGCGCCGCCGCGGGCGCCGGCGCCTTCGTCCGCGGCGACGCCGCCGGCGCGCGGCCGGGCGCCGCGTGCGCGCTCGACGCGCTCCTCGCGGACCCGCTCCTCGGCGACGACGACCGCATGCCCCGCGGGCTCCTCGAGGCCCTCACGGACGACGCGCTCCTCGACGCGCCGCGGCCCGCGTCCGACGCGGACGTCGGCCGCGTCCGGAGCGTCCTCGAGGCCGCGGCCGCGGACCGGTGCGGGGCCGCCTGAGGCGCCGGCGTCGTTGCTCGTCTCGTATAGACTTCCGCCTTAAAGGTTTCGGTCTACCTTCGAAGCGCGCGCCGCGCGCGCGCGGACGGAGGCGGAGATCCCGGCCGCGGGCGACGGGGCTGCCGCGGGCGTCGCCGACGCGCCGGCTTGGGTTAAAATGGCGCCCTACTCGCGCTTCGCGCGGCGCGCGTCGACGCTGAGGCCGCCCGGCCCCGTGAGGCGGAGGAGCGCGAGCGTGCCGAGGACGCTGAGGTCCTGGGCGAAGGCGTAGAGCAGGGCGTCCCGGTGCTTCGTGTGGTGGTGGAGGAGCGCGGCGTANCCGCCGAGGCCGTGGACGACGAGGAGCGCGAGGAGGAGGAGCGCCGCGTGGTCGAAGGAGAAGCCCGCGACGAGCGCGGCGGCGCCGCCGACGCCCACGGCCGCGGACGCGGCCCCCGCGCCGTGGAAGAGGCCCGAGGCGACGAANTANGGCGCGAGGAGGACGCGCGCCGCGAGGCGGCGACGTGCGCGTCCGAGGCCTCGAGCGACGACGACGCCTTGCCGACGCGCTCCGAGCGCGCGTGCGCGACGAGCGCCGCGAGGCCGCCGAGGGACCCGCTGCCGCGGCAGACGAAGGACGCGACGCCGTGGATGTGCGCGCTCGCGTCGACGAACGTCGCGAACGTCGCGAGGTTGAGCGCGACGACGGCGGCCATCGCGGCCGCGGCGCGCGACGGGTCGCGCGACGCGACGACGCCCGCGGCGCCCAGGACCTGGCCGAGGCCCAGGGCCCGGAGGCCGTGCCCGAGCAGGTCGCGCTTGCCGTCGAAGGCCGCGCGCGCGGCCGCCTTCTTGGCCTTCCAGTCGTCGAGGCTCTCGCCCTTCAATCGCGGCTCGCGGTAGTCGTGGCCGGCGAACATGCCCTTGGCCAGCAGCGTCGCCTGCTGCTCGCCGTTGAGCAGCACGCGGCAGCCGTCCTCGAAGAGCGTGAAGACGAGCATGCAGCGCACCAAAACGATGACGGCGCGCCCGGCGCCGGAGCGGCCCAGGCGCTCGATGGGCGTCCGCTTCTCGTCGATGAAGGCCGAGCTGCTCGACGACCGCGACAGGGAGCCCGAGAGCTGCTCGAGCATCGCGACAGAGAGCTGCTCGACGATCGCGACAGAGAGCGGCTCGGTTGCGCACCGGTGCGAGGCGTGCGTCGCAACAAAAAAATTGAGCTCAGATCGTCGTCGGCGTCGCCACTGCCCGGACCGGCGATGCTGTGCACCGTCAGATCACCGTCCGTGAAAGTGCTGCATTCTAATTATAAATAACTCCTCGCGATTACGAGATTGGCAGCGCGGTGTACTCCCCACCGCTCGGGACCGGCAGCACACGACGAGGCTATTGGGATTGTGCTTTTGGGTTCCAGGTCCAGCAGATCTCACCATGTCGAGGCACTGGGGCTCTGCTAAAAAAGTTTATTTGGACTCCGCGCAGAATGCGCGCGAGCGGCAGCCTCCCTCGACGACCAGCCTCCAAGCCGACCGCATCACTGACGACGAAATTATGCGCGCGCCGGCGTCCACAGCCAATCGCACGAATGGGCGCGCGCAGGGAGTACTTCGCGTCCAAGGAGGCGGGCATGCTCGAGAATCTGGGCGGCAAGAAGTCGCCCTGGCGGCACGTGATCTCGCCCGCGTCGTGGATTGTGGCAGCCGGCGCGCAGCCCGACGGTGTGCGTCCCCGCGCGCCCGCAGGTGATGAAGATTCCGTTCGTGAACTTGTTTTATGATTTGATCTTCGACAAGGCGCCAACCGAGGAGCAGGCGGCTGCGCTCGTCAACTTGCTCGGCATCATCGGCGCGCTGCTTCTCAGCATGGCGGTGGCGCTGCCGACGTCGGTGGAGTCGGCACCGGCGCGCAACGTAGGCCGGCGCTGGGACCGGCGCACGGGCGCTCGGACCGGCGCACGTGCGCAGGTATGACGAAATCACGGACCACGTGGACCGCGTCAAGTACGAGCAGGTTGAGTTCGCCAACGGTACCCCCCCAAACTTTCACTCCCACCGTGTCATGGACCGGTTCATCGCGTACAGTATCACGAGCATCGTCCTCAACACCGTCGTTGTCTTCATTTCGCTGTTCGTGTACCTGTTTATGACAAACACGGACTTCAGTGACAAGCGATCTGCACCGTATTTCCAAGCTCGTCGGCCCCAGCGTCCACGACTAAACGACCAGCCGTCGGAGAACTCCTGCACAGGTACACAGGAGATCATGCGACGCTGGTGGAGCTGGACGCGATGGGCCGTGCTTCTGGCGGTTGATCTCCGCGTGGAGCTTCTCAAGAGCGTGCGCCCACACTTGCGTTCGCAGGTCACAGCGTTGATTGGCGCCACCCTCTCGTTCTACATCTCGCTCTACTACCTCATCGTCATCAAAGTCCCCGACTATTTCTGCAGAAAGAACGGCTACTCCGGTGGAGTATTTTTTGAACCGGAGCCTGACTTTTCACCCTACGGGTTCACAAATAGAATGCAGTCTGTCGTGATCATTGGTGGGATTATGGGAACGTGCATGCCCGCGTCCAGGCATCCACAAGCAACCTCGACTCCGCTGCCGCGCATACATGCAGGTTGTTCTGCCTCTCTTTTGGACTCATGCGCAAGTTTCGTTTGGTCACGCTCGCGCGCTGCTGCGCCCGCACCAGAAACGAAACGTGAGCCTGCGTTCTCACTTTTAGGTGTTTGACAAAATTGACCTCGACCATTTCAAGAGCATCGAGACGCGTCCGCTCCTAGAATTACTCAAGCAAACGTACTTCGAGCAATATGCGCGAGACAAGAACCTCTTCAAGAAAAGCGACCGCATCTTTTCGGCTGAGTGCCTCCCGCCGGTCTACGTCGCTTACGCGATGTTGCTCGTCAACGCCGAGATCCGAACGCTCAGCGAGCTTCGCGAGTGCGATACGCCGGAGCTCGTGGACCTTGGAATCCCACTCGGCCACGCGAAGCGCCTCACGCGCTTCGTTCGGGCCTGGGAGCAGAAGACCGCATCAGAGACCGTGTCAACGATCGCGAACTACAAGGCACCAGAGGCTACCGACGACGTGCAAGTGGAGCAGAAGACCGCATCGGAGACCGTGTCAACGATCCCAAACTACAAGGCGCCAGAGCCTGCCGACGATGTCCTAGTGGAGCACTTCTCTTAGGCGGCACTGGACCTTGAAGATTCAGAACTCCGAGCCGCCCGCCAACCAATACACGGCCCCATCTTACTAGGCCGCCAGGGAGAAGGGGGCGCCTCGTCCGTCGTCGCGGATGGCGTCGGCGACGCGGCGCTTGACCCGCGCGGTGAGGTCGGCCTTGGGCTCCGTGGGCGCGTCGTAGGAGACGGACGCGTCCTTGAGCGCGGGCGCGGCGGCCTTCTTGGCCTTGCCGCCCGGCGCGGCGAGCGCGTCCTTGAGCCCCGCGAGGGCCGTGTCGAGGACCGGCGCCGCGGCCGCCGCGAGCGGGACGCCGACGCCGACGCCCGCGTCGAGCACCGCGGCCGCCGCCGCGACGTGGCGCGCCAGCGCGTCCGCGTCCGCGCGCGCGTCGTCGGGCCCGCGGGGCGACGCGCGAAAAGTCGACGCAGCGCGCCCGCGGCGCGGAGGACGCCGCGAGCTTCCGGTCGTCGAAGGCCGACCAGGTTATCGCGCCGCCGCCGTGTACCGAGCCCCCCCCTACTTGGCCATGTGGAGGTCCGACGCGTCGAAGAGCGTGCCGTGCTCGTCGTGGAGCTCGGACCAGCGCTCGAAGACCTCCTGCGCGCCCGCGTAGACCGTGTCGTCGTAGCCCTCGACGTCGGCGTCGGGCGCGAAGTTCGTCGGCGCGAGCGGGTTCGCCGCGGCGGGCGGCGCGCGGGGCGGCGGGAGCGCGGCCGCGTCGCAGGCACCGAGCGGCGCCCACGCGAACTCGGACGGGTCGACCTTGTGGAAGAACGCGTGGCGCTTGATCGACGCGAAGCCGTTCGCGCCGTTGCCGAGGCGGAAGGACGGCTGCGTGTGGAGGAGCTCCGTCACGAGGGACCGGACGTCGGCCGGGCAGGGCCCCGGCCACGTGTCGTCCTCGTGGACGAGCGTCGACGCCTGGAGGATGTTCTGGAAGAGCTCGCCCTGGCTGTCGTGCGCGAACGGCGTCCGCGCGTAGCAGAGCTCGTAGGCTAAAACGCCCAGCGCCCAGAAGTCGACGGCCTTGTCGTGGCCCTGGCTCAGCACGATCTCCGGCGCGAGGTAGTCGGGCGTGCCGCAGAGCGTGAACGTCCGCGCGTCCTCGCCGCCTGTGTGCAAATTCGACCGCCGGTTTGGGACGTCCCGGCCAAACGTCGAGCCTCTCGGTCACATCGACGTCGATTCGGCTGATGTTTGGACGACTCGATGGCTCTCACCGAGGTCTCGAAGCACGCAAGAAACTCTCGCGTCGAAGACGCTCCCATGGAAGTCGGGTCGAAGATGCGGGTCCGGCCCGGCCCGCCGCCGTCGTGGTCCTCGTGGACGAACTCCTTCGCGAAGCCAAAGTCGCTGAGCTTCACGTAGCCCCGCGGGTCGAAGAGGATGTTCTCCGGCTTGAGGTCGCGCCAGGCGACGTGGTGGCCGTGGAGGTGCTCGAGGCCCAGCGCGATGCAGCCGAGGTAGAACCGCGACGTCCGCGCGTCGAGGCCGCCGAGCGGGCCCCGGAACCGGCGCGACTGCTCCTCGCGCTCGTACATGAAGCTGTAGAGGTCGCCGCCCGCGGCGTACTCGATGGCGAGGTAGACGAAGTCGCGGTCCTGGAACGCGCCGTAGAAGCCGACGACGAACGCGTGGTCGAACTTCTCGATGCAGTCGCGCTCCGCCAAGAGCGTCTTCTCCTGCTTCGCGTCCGTGACGGCCTTCTTCGACATGGCCTTGAGCGCCATGAGCTTGTGGGGGTGCTTGTGCTCGACGAGGAGCACGCGGCCGAAGCCGCCCTGGCCCAGGAGCGACGCGATCTTGAGCTTCGACCTGGTGCCCAACGTCAAAGGCTCCGATCTCGGCCGTGTTCCACTCGTTTCGGCTGATTTTGGGACGAGCGATCATCTCTCGGAGCGGTGTCGAAGCGCGGATGCTGTTTCCGGAACGCGCGCGCGCGGCACACTCACGTTGAAGCGACGTTGAATCGCCCGTTCGCGGCCCCGGCGTCGACGGGTCCGAGACGACGAAGCGCGGCGCCTCGGGCGCGCTCTGCGCCGCGTCCGCCTCCGCGACGTCCTCGTCGGGCGCCTCCTGGTTCTCGATGCAGAGCTCGTACTCGCGGCGGCCGAGCCAGTAGCAGACGACGGCCTCCGAGAGCGCCGTCACCGTCGCGTTCCGCGGCCCGCTCTCGACGAGCGACTTCTCGCCGAAGCACGCGTTGTCCTCGAGGATGCCCAGCTGGGTCTGGCCGCTGACCTCGTCGCGGTCGTTGAACGTGGCCTTGGTGACCTTGACGCGGCCCTTCTGGATGATGAAGAGCTTGTTGCCCTCCTCGCCCTCGACGACGATGGAGTCGCCGCGCGCGTACTCGGCGACGCGCATCTTCTCCGCGGCGACGTCGATGGCCGCGTCGGACACGGCCTCGAAGATGACCAGCGACTTGAGGATGCGCCGCTTGACCTGCCGCTCCATCATGTCCTTCAGGTTGCCGAAGAGGCTCTCGAAGTGCGACCGGCGCATGGACACGCACTTGACGACCTCGTCCTCCTCGCACTCGGCGATGCACGTCGCCGCGCGGGGCAGGTTGTGGAGCAGCGCCATCTCCCCGAAGTAGTCGCCGGGCCGGAGCGTCACGAGGTGGCGCGTCCGGAAGCCCGCGGACTGCTCGACCTTGACCGCGCCCGCCTCGATGATGAACATGGACTCGCCGACGTCGCCCTGGCGGATGATGGCCTCGCCCCGCTGGAAGCGGCACGTCTCCAGCGAGTTGGCCAGCCGGCTCAGGAACACGAAGTCGAAGTCCGCGAAGAGCGGCAGCTTCCGCAGAAAGTCCGCGCGCGACGACTCCTGCGCGCGCCGCGCGTCGATGACGACCTTGCGGAAGGTCTTGGAGTCGACGACCCAGCAGCGGCAGTCCTCGAGGGCGCGGATCGTCGCCGCGCGCGGCGCCCGGTAGAGGAGCGCGAGCTCGCCGAACGTCGCGCCGGCGCCGTAGGCGCCGACCTTGACGTCGTCGACGAGGATCTCCGCGGCGCCGGACTCGAGGACGTAGAACTCGTCGCCGTGCTCGCCCTGCGTGAGGATGTTGGCGCCGGCGTAGGTTCGGACCTCCAACGTCGTCTTGGCCATGCGGAGCAGCTCCTTCGTCGGGATGGCGGAGAAGTAGCGGTGGTCGCGGAGCGCGTCGAGGATCGCGGCCTTGGACGCGGCGGACTTGACCGCCGGCGGCCGCTCGCGGTCGTCGTCGTCGGCGTCGCCGTCGGCGTCGTCGTGGTGCGCGCGCGTGTCGACGATGGCCGCGCGCTTCTTCCGGTTCTGCTGCGTGTGCTCCCGGGCCTGCTTCGCCTTGCTCTTGAGCCTGTGTGGAAATCAAATCTTCAACCCGACTTCAATGTGCGCGTATGCGAACGTTTCGACGCAACGCTTTCTGCTGTGCTTCGAGAACTCGACGAGAGCAATCGATCCGTCCAAAAATCAGCCGAATCGACTTCGATTTGATTGAGATAGAGAGTTCTGAAGTTTGGTGGGGACCCCCGAAACCAGTGGTTGATTTCCACACAGTCTTGAGCTTCGCGATGGCGGAGATGGACAGGTGGCCGGCGCCCGGCGGCGCGAGGCCGACCTGGGACATGCGCTTGAGGGCCGCGGGGCTCGGCGTGACGCGGTCCGCCGCGGCGCCGAGCGCCTGGGACTCGCGGCGCCGCAGGCGCCGCTCGTCGTCGTCGAGGGCCGCGGCCGCGGCCGAGCCGCGGCGCGGCGCGTCGTCGGGCGCGCGGAGCGGCGCGGGCGACGACCGCCGCTCCGCGCCCTCGGACGCCGCGAGGTTGCTGAACGCCCGGGAGGCGAGCGTGACCATTGCGAGGCAGCCCCGGTTGGCGCGGCACGATCGCGGCACGGACGGTTGGTGAACCGTGTGGTGCCAATTCGACTCCGGGCAGCCTCCTCCCCCGAAGCGTTTTCAAACATGGACGACCCCTTCGCGGCGGCCCAGGCGGCGCGGGCGCGGGCGGAGCTGCGGCGGTCGACGAACGACGCCAAGCTCCGGGACTTCCGGAAGAAGGTCGCCGCGCGCCTGCGGGGCGACCGGGCCAAGCAGGCCGCGGCGAACCCGTACCGGCCGCCGGCGCCCCGGGCCCGCGCCCCGCCGCCGCCGACGCCGGCGAGCCCGCCGCGCCCCGCCGCGCCCCCGCCGCCGCCGCACGCGGCCGAGGACCCGGACGCGGCCGCCGGCGCCGGCGCCCGCTTCGCCGCGGAAAGCCCCGGCGACGAGCCCGCCGCGGACGACGAGGACGGCCCGGCCGTCGTCGCGAGCCTGGCGCCGCTGCCGAGCCCGACGGAGCCGCCCTTCGCCTGCGACCTCGCGCCGCAGACCGTGCCCGACGCGTTCCGCCGGCCCTCGGGCAAGGCCTCGCTCTTCGGCGCCGCCGAGTTCGTCGACTCCGACGACTCCGACGACTCCGACGGCGGCGGCGGCGGCGACGCGGGGCCGGCG